GTCTGTGTGGGCAGCAAGCGCTTTTAACCAGGTCTCCAGCTCCAGGGCATGAACTTTAAAAACAGAGTAGCACCCAGTGCTGGGGTTCCTGTGCATATACAGGAGGCAGACAGATCTCTGTGAGTTCAAGGCCAGCCTGGTCTGCACAGTGAGTTTGAGGCCAGCTACACAGCGAGACAGGAAGAACGTGACAATGTATAGCACAAACTGTTCTCTATGAGCCATGAAGGAAATATCTGTTGTCGGTTTTTAAGCCTCATTTAATTAGGCTTAATGTCTTCCCCTCAGAACTTGAGATGTGAGGCTATTTTGGTGAAATATAAAATTCTGAGCTTGTTTCCAAAAATACACTGCAATCTCTCACGGCTGCTCAAGACCCTTTCCCTCTGCTGATCCTGCAGAAAGAGCTTGAAGGTGGCGGGGGCTTTCAGGCTGATGCTGTCCTCTGTGTGCAGAGAATAATGGGACGTACAAAGGACAGGGAGGGAGGAGCGGGCTCTGGTGTCTGTCCTGTCCGAGAGGGGTCTGGGGTATCAGAGCAGTTACCACATTCGTTTTCCCGGAGACACTGGACTGCCCGCGTTCCGCCTAACACATGACCATCCTGTGACAGATTTGTGTGGTATTCTAGGGATGAGGAGATTCAACCATGACCAGGGATTGGGTCATCTGTGAACCTGCCTCTCAAACAGGTTTGCCACATGGAGGTCTACAGAAGCTGAGCTAAGGAGATTTGAAGTGTCATGGAGTGTTAATTGCTTGGGATAATTGGATTGGAGAGATCTGTGAGGAAAAAGCAAACATAAATAAGAAAAAATGGAAAGAATAAATGCAGAAGAAAGAAAATAGCAGCAGTGTAACCCGAGACCATATCATGTCTATTGTGGCCAAGTGAATTGATTTGCGCTCTTATCACAAGGGCTCCTGGTCCATATTATAAAAGGACAGCGGCAGAACAATAGTAAGCTTTCCTCTAGGCCCACATCTAGATTTTGGACCCCTTAAGTAGTTTTATATATGGGTTCCATCTCATAGAGTGGGCCTTTAATAAAAAATAAGTGGCTGTGGAAAGAAAAGTTTATCTGAGGGATCTAACTGCTGGCCTGTCTGCGCAGGAGGGCAGTGTGTAGACAGCAGGAAAAGCCTTGCTAATTTGATGGAGACAGAGAAGGAAAGGTGTGGGCCAGAAAAGCCTGGGAATTAGTGCGAGATTAGTCAGGCACTAGATGCCCTTGCCGGAGGCTGGGCTGGTAAAGCTGCAGCTTTCCTGGTAAACTGAGACCCGCCGGATGCTGAGTTTACTATTTTTCACCCCACAACAACCTGTCTGTCCACCTGGTCAAGTCACAGTCCTCCTGTTTAAGACATTCTCACCCGCGCTGCCATTTGGGAGGCCCCACTTTGGACAACAGTAACATTTGTGCCTCTGCTCCACCAGTACATCTTGCAGTAGCTGTTGTAGTGACAGCTTCATAGATGGAGTTACTCCTCTGGTGGCGCTCAGCCTGCCTCCCAGCCCAGCGCACCTTCCAGCACCAGGCATTGCATGCTGGTCTGTAGGGATGGAGCTGGGCACTAGCTCGATTTCTCCGTGTTTGATGACATAAGTTAGTTGTGTCTTACCGTCGGGTTATGAAGAGAAACCAATAGCCTTGACAATAGCCTGTGATGTCTGGGAATCCATGGGACCCCTTGGCCAACAAGTCAAGCAGATACAACCTACCCCTAGCACTGGAGGCTCTACGTGGTAGCAGATGTCTCATTGGGCAGCGTCTCCCCCATTCCATGGTGATTCCACTTAAGTTCTCTTCTTATCGGTATATATTTTAGGAAGTTTTATAGCACTGGGTTTCCACACGGCTTTCCAAATGGCCTCTAGCGTTCTTTGTCCCTCCCCATACATCGTCCCTCCTTTACTCTTCTGCCCACCTGTCCCTATCAATCTTTAATTGCCCTTTGTCTCTTTAGAATACTCCATTTCTGCTTTCCGGGAAGGTCCGCTCTTCTCCCTGCTCCTTTACCAGCTACCCGTCCTCTGTGATCATTCCCCGAAACAAATATTTAGAGCTGAAAAGAGAACACTCACACATAAGAGAAACCTCATTCTCTGTCGTTTGGGGTCTGGGTGACCTCATGGTGGTTGTTCCCAGCTCCATTCACTTACTGGCACACTTCATTTTTCTTAACTCTTGAGTAATTTCCTTTGTGTAAATGAACCACACTTTTATTACTCATCAGTTCATTGACGGACATCCAGGCTGTTTCCAGTTCTTGGCTGTAATGAGCAGAGTGGCCATGACTATGGATGAGCCGTAAGATGTAGGTCCTTTGGACATCGGCCCAGGAGGGCTAGAGCTGGGTCTTTAGGTAAGCCAATTTTCAGCTTCTTGAAGGCCCCCTGTGGTGGGTCATATCCTGGCCAGGTGTCAAACAGGCCCAACTAGTTAACTCTTTAGGGAGAGATCAGTAGAAGACAGTATAAGAACTTTGGAGGCAGATCAGAATTCCTTTCTCCACTCTGGCTGGAGGTTGAACTTAGTTCGGTTCCTTTGTTAACCAGGATGAAGTAGGTCTCCTTTAAAAAGGCCTCAACAGAGTTCTGATGTTTTGCACACAGAGTTTTACCTGGGAAGCAGCAGGTGGGGTTCAAAGCTTACCAGGGGGGAAGGATCCACCCTCTACTGACCTCCGAGAAAGCAGTTCTCTGTCCAGCTACTTAATTGCAGGACTTTGAAACCAGGTGGATTTAACTGCCTTCTCCCTACAATACAGGGCCAGCTCCCCATTTCAAGATCAGGAAGGTCAACCCAATGCCCACAATTGATTTCCGAAGGAGGGCTCACCATCTGTAGGCTGACACTGACCCAGAATCCTTGGGACCATAGTGTACCTTAGTAACTATAGACAAATATGCCCCAACATTAAAAACAAAAGAAGAAAATACATATAAGAGACACTCTTCAGGCTGTTGGAACAGGACAGGGTTTGCAACTTGGCGCTGGAGAGCGGATGGAGGGGACTAAAGCTGCCCTACTCTTCCCTGCCCTTTACTAAGCCCAGAAATATCTCCAAGCCCCCTTAGCCCCTCTTTCTAACGTTGCTAGCATGGCCCTCTGTCAGGAAAATGCCAAAGCAGTATACCTGGCCATTTTAAATTATGTGTCCCGAGTGCAGGCACTCAGAGCCCAGCTGTGTGGGATCTCTTGCAGGTGGGGGTGGACATGGCAAGCGCTCATTCCCTGAGTCATCCCTCCAGTCCCTAGTTTTTTGTTTGTCTTGGAGACACGGTCTCACTGTAGCTCAGGTTTGGCCTGAATAGCGCCGCAATCACTCACCAGCTAGGGTTAAAAGCGACAGCCACTTTGCTAGCAGGGTCGCTGCTGGGTAGTAAGGCCCTGCGGGCACAAATGCCGGTCCCCAGCATAAACCCTAGTCCTTTTCCCTTCCGAGTTTCAGAGAAAGCCATTGTGATGTAAATGTGTCGCAGAAGTGTCCTGGGTCCTGCCCCACTGAGTTCTTGAGTAAAACGCCTGTGCTCCTGGGCCCTTGATTCGCGTGCCCAGCCCCGCGTGACTGCGCGCACACACGATACGGAGATGCTGCAGCGTCTGCGCTCCTCCCTGTGCCGGGTACTAGCCCGTGGCTCAGCATTCGGACTTCCAGGGCTCAGCAGAAACAGCAGCCCCGGCCTTGTAGGATTCACCGTGCGCCACGTGTCGCCGCTGCGCCACGCATTCCCACACGCCCGCAGCTTCGTCATGGCCTGTTTGCCCCGGGCAACTGCAGCCCTGGCCCGCCAGGTACCCGCATGGGTGAGGGGCGTCAAGGCCCAGCATCCCTTGGGGGACTCTGGGGCCACCGCGGGAGGGCGCCACGAGGCTCTCGGGATCACCGCAGGGCGCCACAGCTCAAGAGGGGATGCCAAGGGGGATTCGGGGGTTGCCACGGAAGACACAGGGATTGAGAGACTCGGGATCAAGGCGGAGGTCGCCACTAGGGGACTCGGGGATGGAGATGATTCTTGGGTGCTCGCGGGGTCGCCACCAGGGACTCAGGGACTGCTAGTGTCTGCAGGGAATTCTGGGGTCATCCTGGGGGTCTCAACCGGCCATGGGGGGGGGTCTCTACTGGGGACTGAGGGTTCACTGTGGGGATTCAGAGGTCGCCACTGGGGACTTGGGGAAACTCATGGTTCTCCACTGGAGACGCAGGAGTCATCACCAGGGATGTTGGGGTCACAAAGTGGAACAGGGAGAAGTTGGGCACAACCAAGGATAGCGGGGATGCCGCCAGGAATGCGGGTGTCACAGCCTGGAAATCTGGAGGATGAGGGAAAGCCTTCCCCACCTCAAAATATCCCACCCCAGCCTCTGCAAGCCTGGACCCCTTCCTTCCCTCCTTTCCAATTATTTAGCAAATTAGCGTCCAGCTTTTTGAATGCCTGCCCCTTTCCCTAGTTAATTCCGAACTTCGGTGTCTTTTATGCATTTAATTGCCACCAGTATCAAGAGGTTTTGTTCTTCAAGTGTGAGGTTTTGGCGGCGCCAAAGCACCAGGGACCCTGCGGGTGGAGAAAATGGTTTCAGCCAGTCCGCGCCCCCTCCCTCTTGAAGCCGCTTGCCTATTGTGCGCCTCTGAGTGACAAGACCATGAGGCTGAGCGCGCTTGGGAGATTTTTTCCCCCCCTATAAATGGCTTAAACCCTCGGTCTAGACGACTCACTTGGACATTCGGGAGACAATTGCTTTCTTGTTCATTGCGGGTGAACCCTGGCTCCTGGGTTGACCTGGAATTTAAGGAGCCTCTCCCCAAACTACTAGAAGATAAGCCAGACCTGGGGCCGGTTGGGAGGCTGGGTCGTCGTTCTGGCTGGAGCTGACGCTGGGTATTGAACCCTCCAGGCTCGGCTTTTCTGTCTTCTGTGATGGTGAGTCCCTTGATCAGGTACCCGCAATGACCCACCTGACTTTGGTTAATGGAGGTTTATTTTTACTTTTAAGGACTGCAGTAATGGATGCCCGGCGCCCTTTGCTGGAGAAAGAGGATCAGAAGTGGCCGAGACTTTCAGGGTAAGTCTGCAGGAGGTTAAGTTGCTAGGTAATGCATTTCACGTTGAGATTGGGGGTTGGGGAATTTTAATTGTAAATTTACACAGATTTCTTGAATTTTAAATTACAGCCGGTGAGGGGAATAGTCATTCGAGATTATTACCAGTCAGCAAAACAAAATCCACTTAGCAGCAAACTGCTTGTTTTATTTTATGAATCATTCATTTTATTGGCAAAGAGTCGATTTTTGATGAATAGGAACCTGAATTTTGTTTTGATCTTTTATTCTTGTCTAATTGAATCAGCTCAGCCCTTCACTCTGCTCCTCCAAGAAAAAGGCACCATGTCTTCCCTCCTTAAAAAATCATAGAACTCACTTACAGCGCAGTGTTTTCGATTTCTTCCCGTCTGAATTATGTGGTTTATGTACGACGTGGCCTCCTGCTTCCCAGGAGAGTTACTCAAGGGATGAAGATAAAGATCTCCGGGTTCATCATCCACCCCACCCCACAGGGTTGTGTGGCTCTTCATGGGTGCTTGGCTCTGCCACTTTGTTGGCTCTGATAGCCACTGCCAACTGTCATCCATAGAACAGAATGTCCTTCTGACCTCACATCCTGGCATAGCTCAGGGAGGGGCTGAAACCTGACTCATCAGTTTTGTACCACAGGGAAGGCTCGGTGTGTGGGGACTGTGCTGGGAACAAACGTGTGTGTGTGTGTGTGTGTGTGTGTGTGTGTGTGTGCTAGATTCAAGATGAGCCTCTGCTCACAACAAAATACAATAAAACATGCTACAGTGAGCTGCTGTGGATTTTGTCTCTGTGGTTTCTGGTGCACTAAGCAATAGGCTTAACCGCTAATCCTTACAGACCTGCTTGGGAGCTTCCAAGACTGCCCTGGTCAGTGGAGGTGGGGTGCAGTTCTCCCAGAAATGCTTGCCTAGAATTCCATCCCCAGCACTTTCCAGAATTCAATTATAATGCATGAAAAGCTTGGGATCGTTCTGGCTGTCCTGGAACTCCATACAAACCAGGCTGGTCTTGGCTTCTTGCTAACCTTTATAAGACAGAGATTCAATTTCTCAAAAGAAGTTATTATATGTTTTTTAACTGAAAGGACTTTATGCTTTTATACAAAGTATTCAGTGCAAGATAAAGTTCATAGTGAAGATAATGTGTTTGTTAACTAAAATTTGTATACAGCTTGATTGTGTGTATTAATGCTTGTCGTGGCTTGAGACAGTATTGATAATCTGGGGATTAAGATTGATGGGTTTTATTGAAAGCTCAGTGCTGGCTGTTGAACTTAGGGCCCTTGTACACAGTAAGCCTCTTTGACTGAGTCACACCCTTAGCCTGGATCTTCTGTCTGCCATCGCCTTGCTCCCAGGTCTCTCCTAGGTTCCTTTCCCACTGTGACGGGGTCCCTTAAAGGGAGGGAGGGTGATGTTTTCTAGCTGGGCCCAGAAAGCAGTCATCTTTGTTTCTACCTAATTCTTTACAAATTAAAAACAAATCTATTGTCATTTTAAAATTTTCATTTGTGTATTAATTATCGTGGAAGGGCATCATGGTGCGAGTGTGGGTGTCAGTCAAGAGGCAACTTGGAGGGGTTGTTCCTACCCTTCCCCACCATGACTTGAGCACCCTGGAGCGAGCCTATAGGTGTGAGTAGTGCGCCTGTGTGTGTGTGTGTGTGTGTGTGTGCAGTAAGTGTGCACATCTCTGTGAGTGCCCTTGGAGATCAGATGCGTTGTATCCTCTGAAACTGTAGTTACAGATGGTTGTGAGCCCCTGGACTCGGTGATGAGACTCAAACCTGGGTCCTGGAAGAGCAGCCTGCACCCTAGCAGGTGAACTGTCTTTCCATTCTTTTAAGGAGCTGTGTGTGTTACCTGTGAGTCTTACCGTGGACACCAGGGTCCTCTTTCAAAGAGATGAGCTCTCTGCGTCTTACGTTGCCCCTGATTGACCCCAAAGCTGTAGCATCTTCATCTTCTTCAGACCCCGTTAGGTTCTCAGAGAGGAGCCATCAGAAGCACTGAGCAGATCAGGGAGTGTTTGTTTACTTATTTTGTACACGTGTATACAGGGTCCGTGTCTGTGCAAATCAGCAAACAACTTGTAGACTGTGACTCTCCTCTCCTACCATGTGGGTTCCAGGTTTTAAACTTAGGTCATCAGGCAAAGCACCTTTACCCACCTAACCATATAGCTGGCCCAGAAACTTGTTTTTAATATGTTGGGTGTTTACCCATGTTTTATTATTTATTAGTTACCATCCTTTCCTGTAATCCTCCAATGTCCATCATATAAAACATCCCTGTACAAATACTGGTTGGTTGGTCCCCTCCCCCCTTTTTTTCTTTCTGAGACAGGGTCTTACCATTTTAGCCTAGACTGGCCTTGAACTAGAAATCCACTTGCCTTAGCCTTTCAAATTCTGGGATTAGAGGTGTATACCAGCCATCTGACATTCTTTTTAAAGATTTAATTTTTACTTTGTGTGTATGAGTGCTTCTCTCTCTCTCTCTCTCTCTCTCTCTCTCTCTCTCTCTCTCTCTCTCTCTGTGTGTGTGTGTGTGTACCACATGCGTGTCTGGTGTCCACATAGACCCGACCAAGATGTCGGATTTCTTGGACCAGCATTACGGATCAGTGTAAGCTGTCATGTGGGTGCCGGAATTGAACCAGGCCCTCTGAGAGAGCAGCCGTGGTCTTCACTGCTGAGCCATCTTCAGGCCTCACCTCACCTCCCTTTGCCCCCAGCCATTGCCTTTAATACCAGCACTCAGGACATAGGGACCGGTGCATCTCTGAGCTCAAGGCCAGCTAGAACTATACGGTGAGAATTGCAGAGATTTCCTCAAATAGAGGAATTCGGAGTTCTTGGTGACATTATGACAGCCACAAAATTGTGTGTTGCTGAGAAAAAACTGGATCCAGGGCATTCTTTATGTTCAAGTCTGAAGGGTTGCAGGGCAATACTCAACTTGCTCAGATTCTTTTCCTGAATCTCCTAAGTGCTTCCCCGCCTAGCTGGCTTGCTCAGGCAACTGATAAGCCACCAGGAAATACAGGACAGACATCCCCCTGCAGGCATCCCTAGTGGTGGCCCCTCCTATGGGCAGGCCTGCAGTAGTGTGGCTTCCTGTACCTGCTGAGGTTTTGGAAACTACAGTCCTGGGGAAGGAGATAACCAGGGCTACAGTCTAGGCCTCTGAGGACTGGAATATGATTGGCGTACGGGGACATAGCCTCCTAATTTGGTCCACCCCTTGCCTGTTTTTCCCAGCTGTGACAGCCTTAGGACCTCTGACCCTTTCCCTGTTCCTTCTCTCATTCCTTCCTGTATTCCTGCTGTAGGGCCTTTGCTATGACCTGCTTGGCTCATCTGCCTGAAGTCCGTCAATCCTAGGTATATAGACGTCCCTCCGCCTGCTCTCTGTGCTCAGCTGCACCCACAGGATTGTAGAAAGCCAAGACTAACATTCCCTTCCCTGCCTGTCACTTTTAATTCAGACGGCCGTTGAAAAGTAAAAGTATTTGTTTTTAATGCTTGAAGACAATTTTATTAAAATTCAAGAGAAAAACAGCAAGGTGAACAAGCTGTAAATCTTGATAGCTGCCTGGAGGAGGTGGCTTGATAAGGGGAGGAGAGAAAGCCTTATTGAAGAACCATGGGCATTCCTGATTACGTCACTTAAACCGGAAGTCAGGGCCATGGATGGCTCAGTGGGAAAAGGTTGCTGTATAAGTGACTCCGTGTCTGATCTCTGGACTGCATGGCAGAAGAGCCACCTCCCAAAGGTTGTCCTCTGACCCCCACAGATGTTGTGGTGTGCCCACACACTTATCACGTGTATAGACACACAATAATAAATACAATTCTAAACCGCCTGTGTGCATTGGCTGTGCAGTGTTTAAGGTATGTCTGGAGGGCCAGAGAGATGGCTCAACTGTTAAGAACACTGGCTGCTCTTCCAGAGGTCCTGAGTTCAATTCTCAGCAGCCCCATGGTGGCTCACAGCCATCTCTGATGAGATCTGGTGCCCTCTTCTGGCCTGCAGGCAGGCATACAGCCAGAGCACTGTTTACATAATAAATAAGTAACGGACATTACTTTTTAAAGAAAAGGTGGGTCTGGAATTCAGTCTCATCCTTCAGCCACACTGTCCATCTTCAGCCTGCCCTGTTCTGTGTCTTCCTTGTCAGAGACCATGGGTGGGACTGGTCATGTACCCCCGTCGGTAGAGTTCTTGCTCTGTGTGCCCCACTCAGACCTGGGGTGGGGTGCACATCTCTAACTCTCAGAGGGCAGAGGCAGCCTGAGTGACGGGAGTCTGACAGGACACCCCCACCCCCACCAAATGCTTTCTCCTCTCTACCTAGGGTTTTTGCTTGTTTGTTTGTTTGTTTACTGTTCTCTAACTGTTCACAAGTTAGGGATCAGCACTGAGGTGACTTTGGCCATTCGTGATGGTCCAGCCCGCTTTGTGAGGAGAGCCTAGGGCAGTTGTTTCCTGTGGCCCTTGTTGCCCTTGCTTCTGTGTCCCCGAATAGGAGGGCTTTGTTCATCGTCTCATCCTCCCAGAACAGAGGGCTTGTATCTGAGGCTCCATTCTCTGCTGGTCCATCTTCAAAGAGGAGAGCGCTTTGATGCTCTCATCCCTGCCCTGTGCATTTGGAGGCATGGGAGGCTTGTGCCCACAGTGCTCTGGGGAGATGGATGGACGCAGCCATGGCAGCAGTGGCTCCGTCCTCAAGGGTCCTCCTGCCCCGGTGAGCAGCACTGTTCCTGGAGGATGCTCCTCCCTTCTGAGAGGTTCCACTCAAGTCGGTGGGAGTGGGGAGTAGCCCCTCCCCTTCCTGCGTCTTTCCCCACACCTGCCATGTGGGTACATCCTAGAGGTGTGTTTCCCATGACTTTACAACCAAAGTCACTGCAGAGATTTGTTTGTGAGTTAGTCTTGTTATGTAGCCTAGGCTGGCCTAGTACTCACTATGTAGCCTAGGCTGGCCTGTTGCTCGCTATGTAGCCTAGGCTGGCCTGGTACTCGCTGTGTAGCCTAGGCTGGCCTCACATTTGTGACTCTCTTCCTCCTTCAGCCTCCTGAGTGCGGGGCATAACAGGTGTCCAGTGCCACACTGTTGCAGGGATTACTGATTTTTATAAGAATATATTTTTAGGGCTGGAGAGATGGCTCAGTGGTTAAGAGCACTGCCTGCTCTTCCAAAGTTCCTGAGTTCAATTCCCAGCAACCACATGGTGGCTCACAACCATCTGTAAGGAGGTCTGGCGCCCTCTTCTGGCCTTCAGGCATAGACAGAATATTGTATATGTAATAAATAAATAAATATTTTAAAAAATATATTTTTAGATGTATTCATTTTGTTTTATATGTGTTTGGCCTTCATGTATGTGTGTACATGTACTGCGTACATGCTTGGTACACACAGAGGTCAGAAGACAGCATCTGATCCCCAGGAACTTTGGATATATGAATGGTTGTAAACGTCACCATGTGGGTTCTGGGAATTGAGCTTGGATCCTCTGCAAGAACAACAAGAGCTCTTTTCCACTGAGCCATCTTTCCAGCTCTATGATTATAGTTTTGTTTTAAATGTTTTTTATTGCAGTAATTTCTTGTGTGTGTATGTGTATACGTGTGTTTGTATGTGTGTGTGCATGTGTGTGTGTGTGAGGGTGGGGAGGGAGGATGAGAATGTGTGTGTGTGTGTGTGTGTGAACTCCGAGCGCAGGTTTGGTCTATTTGCTTCTCTCGGTGTTATGGTGTTATGCTTGGGTTGCTCTCTGAGACTTGTTTTGTTTTTCAGACAAGGTTGGTGAACTTCTGAACCTCTTGCCTCTGTGTCTTTTAGTGGTGTTGGGGGGTTAAATCCAGGGCTTCTTGCACACTCAGTGTGCACTCCTCCAACTGATGCATGTCCTCAGACCCTCTAGTGTTAAATTATCTGCTCATTGCAGACATCAAGAGACGCCATTCACTTGTGGACCCTTGGACCATTTAGCTGGTGCGGTTCTGATTGCTTTCCCTCACGGTGCTCATTTCTCGTCCACAGGCCAAAGACCTCATCATCACACCAGCCACCGTGTTAAAGGAAAAGCCAGACCCCGACTCGCTGGTGTTTGGAACTGTGTTTACCGATCACATGCTGACGGTGGAGTGGTCCTCGGCGTCAGGATGGGAGAAACCTCACATTAAGCCCTTTGAGAACTTGTCTCTACATCCCGCCGCCTCCGCTTTGCACTACGGTGTGGAAGTAAGTGCTTGGGAGCTGCTGGGAGCCATGAGTCTCCTCCTTGTTAGCTTCTCTGGGCTAGGCAGGCTCAGCTGTCATTACTGAAGGTTGCCATGCATGTCTTCCGATTTCTCCTGCAGCCAAAAGGACTGAGGACACATCTAAGAACTGGCTTTGCAGATTGTCTTGGTTTCTTTGTGATGCTAGTTTAAAAAAGTACCGGTATATACGTAACTAAATGTATCTGTCTGCGTGTGTGTATATGTATATGTGTACACACACACACACACACAAAGGATAGTGAGGAAAATTAGAACCCTAAAGAGTCCACACGAAGCCAGGTTTGGTGTTCATGACTGTCACCTCAGTTCTTGGCAAGCTAAGCAGTGGTGGGCAGAAGGTCCAAGGCTAGCCTCGACTATGCAGTTCATTCCAGAGCAGCCCAGGCAGGCCATGGAATGGCACCTCACAGAGCCCCAAAGCCGTGACTGTTGCTATTTTATTTATTAAGTTCCTTCTTTACTCAGATGCCCGTGCTAACTGCTGTCTTGTAACCAGCCTGAGGTTTGTTTATTAAGGGATGGTGTTGAATGTGCTCTTTCATGTTTGAGGATCCATTTCCTGGTCCTCTGCAGATACATGGTTAACCAGCTCCACCATTGTCTTGGTCCTACATTTCATTTTATGTGACAGCTTTTTCCAGAATATTGAAGGTGCTAGAGATAAACGCTACCAAGGGCTTGAAAAATGACCATAGGAAAAAAAATATCAATAGCAATGATAAAAATAACCATTTCTGGAATTAAATTCCAGTGCTGCTCTTTGTAGAGATCTTGTACTTTCTTTTTTATTAATATTTATTTATTGTGTATACAATATTCTGTCTGCATGTATGCCTGCAGGCCAGAAGAGGGCACCAGACCTCATTACAGGTGATTGTGAGCCACCATGTGGATGCTGGGAATTGAACTCAGGACCTTTGGAAGAGTAGGCAATGCTCTTAACTGCTGAGCCATCTCTCCAGCCTGAGATCTTGTACTTTCTGTAGATCATTCTCATTTAATTATTTGTGTTTAAAGTTCAGATTTCCCACCTTACCTTGGCGTCATTCTTTTAATGACCTGAAGTGAGAAGCGTAGGCATCAGCATTCAGGGCTCCGTGGTTAGGGCACTTGCTGCTCTTGCGGAGGACCTCAGTTCAGTCCTCAGCACCCATCCCAGGCAGCCCACAGCTCAAACTCCCAGCAGATCAGATGCTCCTTCATGCCTCTGGGCAAGCACACGCACGTGAACAGGCATGTATATGCGTATACAAATAAAAGAATCTTAAAGAGCTGATGTTGCAAATTAAAAAAAAAACAGGGTCTAGAGGCAGACAGAGACGGGGCTCAAGTTCGATTTCAGGTGCTTCTGGAGGTTTATGGAACTTGGGGAGTGTTGTAGGCGGCTTGTTTGTTCCTGGTTGCTCAGCCCCGAAATAATCACAGAGAAACCATATTATTTGCAATACTGTTTGGCCAATAGCTCAAGCGTATTCCTGGTTAACTCATATCTTAAATTAACCATTTCCATTAATCTGTGTATCACCACGAGGCTGTGGTTTACCAGGTAAAGTTCTGGCGTCTGTCTCTGGTGAGGCTACATGGCTTCTCCTGACTCCGCCTTCTTTCTCCCAGCATTCAGTTTAGTTTTCCCTGCCTAGCTCTACTCTACCCTATCACAGGCAAGGCAGATTCTTTATTCATTAACCAATAAAGCAACACATATATTGAAGGACCTCCCACACCAGGGTAGTACAAACATTTATGATTTAATACTTTTGTTAAAGATGGATACTGACTGACTGATACTTCCTTTACATTTTTTTATTCTATTTATTCATTTGTGTGTGGGGCATGCTGTGTCTACTACATGCTGTGTCTACATGTGGGCATCAGAGGATGACTTGTGGGAACTGGCTATCCTTTCTCTAAGTGGGTGTCCGGGCTTGAACTCAGGTCATCAGACTTAGCAGCAAGCCCTTCACTTGATGATCCATCTTGCCCACCCCGTAGTGGATCTGTGTTCCTGAAAGTGTAAGATCACGTAAGTTCATTCGAGGCTGTAGAGCAGTGCCCTAAAGCTGCGGCCCTTCCTCATTGGTACCCTCCTGACCTTAATTATTTTGTTGCTGTTTCATAGCTAATTTTGCTACTGTTACGAGTTATAATATAAATATCTGATATACAGATAGCTGATATTTGACCCCTATGAAAGGGTCATTCAGCCCCTGGAGGGGTCTCCACCCACAGGTTGAGAACCACTGCTGGAGAGCCATGCCTGGTGCCAGGGCGAGCCTGTGTGATGACCTAGTCTACACAGTCCAAAGAACGGCGCATGCACTTCCTTTAGAATGAGTAACTTAAGCATACAGCAAGCATCAAGTAAAGGAAGGAACAGCAAGTGTCAACTACAAAGACTCAGCAGACAGATAGCAAAGCATGCTCAGGTTGGGGAACTTGTAGCATCTCTCTACCCAGGAGAGACAACCTGGGTAGCCCCATTGAGGGGACAAGCGGAAGTCACATCATTAAATTCGTGCTCCCAACACCATGTAGAAAGAGACTGGGGGTGTCTGTGCTCAGACCACCTGGGTGTTCCAAATCTTATCTGATAATGGGGGGGCTCAGTGGAGTTGGGCCTGCTTAGTCCTTGGTTGGGAGACAGTCTCCGGAGCAAACTGATCGGCAGACCTTCCCAGCTGAGAGCAGGCTGGTCTGCCCTTGAACCAACTTCTGGCCTCAGATTCCCACACAGGATTTTAAACAAGGGATAAACAGTCTTACTTTCCAGCTCTTCTCAAGGACACGGTGTTTTAGCTGTTTGCTTTTCTCTCCCTCACAGGTTGAGGGTGTCAGGGTGTTGGCCTGCTCCAGATTTAGAGGACACTTGGGTAAACACACTTGGGTCTGAAGTGGGAGGGGCCGGCCTTGGCCTGGAGAGTGAGCTACTTTGTGAGCTCAGTCAGCACCCCTCGCCAACAGTGTCCGTTGGTGTACCCTGACCCAGCGGTGCCTGCTATTCTAGAAGACGATCAAGACCAACCTGTAGAACCTTTTGTTTTGTCTTCTAAAGACAGGGTCTCCGATAGCCCAGGCTGGCTTGCAGCTTACAGCACAGCTGAAGCTGGTCTTAACTCCCAGCTGTGCCTGCACATCCCAGGCGCCAGGATTGCAGGTGCACACCATTGCACCAGGCCGAGTTTAGGGTTCTTAGTTTCTTTCCCAGATGACTCCCAGTGGACACTCTGGGCTGAGTTCTTATGTTCTTCACGCCAAGCCCTGTGCAGCAAATGGTGGGTGAGTCGACCATCCCCCTTCAGAGAAGGCTGTTGGTAAGCTGGTGGCCTCTGGGATCCTGATTCGCAGACTTAACGCTCAGAATTCCCGTGGGTTTCTGGTTTCCATTCATTTTTGAAGCTGTGTAACCCAGATGAGTAGGCACCACAGCCCGAGAACTGCCTGTCCACAGAAAGTGAATTACAAGGAATGAAGGTCCTTTTTGAGGCTTAAAGACTTGGAGTTTTGGAGTAGATTGATTGAAATTCCAGTTTGACTTTTTCATATTATTATTAGTGGTGGCAAGCTGGCTTTAAACTTATAGCAATCCTCCTGCCTCAGCCTCCCAAATACTAGGATTATAGTTAAAAAATAACAGGTCTGGGGCTGTAGCTCAATGCTCAAGCACTTTCCCTCACATGAATAAAGAAAGCCTTGTGTTCCACTTCTGGCCTGAAAACACAAGCAGAACCAAAAATAGCCCTCAAATTACAGTTATTCTGTCATGGAGTAAAACCCGCAGTCCTCTCTGTGTTATTAGGACCTAATAAAAAATACAGCACTTCTCTGAGAACTGAAGACCAGATAGCCCAGGGACCTAGGGTGAAACCAAATACTGCTGTTCTTAAAAAAAAAAAAAAAAGTGCAATAAAATGACTCTTCCTTCGGGAAGCTTCTTCCTGTAGCAGATAGAACAAATACAGAGACCCTCAGCCAGACAGGACACAGAGAGTGAGAGACCTTGGAACACTGAGCCCTGCATCAAATGTCTCCATCAAAACCACTCAGAGCTCAGGGAACAAACAGCCACTCTTCTGCCCCTGCTCACTGGAAAGGAGGCAGAAGAGTAGAAGAGGGATGGAGGGCCAGGAAGACAGACAAGGGGATGGAGGGCCAGGAGAACAAGGCCCTCGGAATCAATTGAGCAAAGCTCACGTGAACTCAGAGACTGAGCAGCATGCACAGGGCTTACATGTGTCCTCACCAGGTCCTCTGTGTTTATGTTTTGGCTTCCCGTTTAGTGTTTGTGTTGAAAGGAATCGCTTGTTTGTCCCGGCCATCCAGAACTGAAATAATCACACAGAAACTGTATTTATTAAATCACTGCTTGGCCCATTAGCTCTAGCTTCTTATTGGCTAACTCCTATATCTTCATTTAACCCATTTCTATTAATCTGTGCATCACCACGAGGTCATGGCCTACCAGCAAAATTCTAGCATGTATGTCTCCAGTAGCGGATCCATTGTGTCCCGACTCCGCCCTTTTTCCTCCCAGCACACAGCCTAGCTTTTCCTGCCTAGCTTTGCTTTTCCCTGCCCTGGGCTCAAAGCAGTTCTTTATTAACCAATGAAAGTAACACGGTTCCGGGCGGCTAGGATGAACAAGTGGTTCCTTACAATAAGCGTGTGAACGACTGGGTCTCTGATTCTTGTACCTTCAGGTGGACTTTTTTCTTCTGTCAATTCTGTCCAGTACCGATGTGTTGTTGTTGTTTATCTTGTTATATTTTATTGTTATCACTTGAAGCCTGCTTTCTAATGAGAGACAGAAAAGGAGGTGATGGGGAGCTGGGGGACTAGAAGAAGAAGACACCATAAATCAGGATATATTATGTGAGAAAAAAATTATTTTCAATAAAAGAAAAAAATATTGGGGGTGGGGATGTAGCCCAACCCGAAGGATGCCCCTCTGTCATGCAGGTGTTCTGGGCTTGACCAGCACACACGTGTGTGTAAACACCCATGCCATCTGCATGCAGGTGACCTCTGACCAGCACACGCGTGTGTGTAAACACCCATGCCATCTGCATGCAGGTGATCTCTGACCAGCACACATGTATGTGTAAACACCCATGTCATCTGCATGCAGGTGACCTCTGACCAGCACTCGCGTGTGTGTAAACACCCATGTCATCTGCATGCAGGTGACCTCTGACCAGCCTTGATGGAGACACCACCAGGGGCCACTGAAGCAGACTGTGGCTCAGGGCCACTTGGGGAGGGAGTGCTGGGGAAGTACATGTTTGGAATTCAAACTAGAAAGAAAGCTTATGGTCCAGGGGTACATGGCCCTAGGCCTTTAGACTCCTTGTCCAGGGAGGTCATAGCTGCAGAGTGTGGTTGCTGGGTCTGAAGACAGCTCGGGGTCATTTACAAGTCCCTGAAGCAGATTTCTTTTGGGTTAGCCTTTTTCTCTCCTGGGAATGTTCTTGTGCATGGGGGCAGGTGTGTGATGTGTGAAACCCTGCTCTGGTCCAAAGGCGGTAAGAGATGGATTATTCTGTGTCAATCAGTGGTCATGGCCTGAGCACATGGGATCAGGTTGTCCCGAATGACATGTCTCACTGTGGAAGTGGTTACATGAACAGAACAAGTCATCAGTCAACACGCTTAGGGAACATACTGCTGGGGACATTAGTCATCACACTACAGGACACATACTGCTTGGGACATCAGTCAACACTCTTAGGAAATGTACGGATTGGGACATGAGGGAGCTGGTTAAGCCAAGCAAGAAGTCCCGCTATCTGATGATGTTCTTTTAGCTTCTATGATGATCTACTTGAAAGTCCAAAGATTGTGAAGTTAGAAACAGAAGTGGAGAATTAGTGGCTGTGGAGGTTAAAGATAACTCGGGATGATTTGGGCTCTGGATCCACAACATTCTGACTCTCCACAGTTAGGGAATGTTCCGAGAGATCATTAGACTTATGCCACCTTTTCAGAAAACTCCAGTTCACAAATCCCCCCCGCCCCGGTGTGTGTGTGTGTGTGTGTGTGTGTGTGTGTGTATGTGTGTGTGTGTGTGTTTGTGAGAGAATGTGTGTGACCGTCCGTCATTCTGTAGGCAATGTCCACCTTGCTCCTCTAATACAGGGACTTGCTGACTTGGGATTAAATAGGTTTGGCAGGCCATCCCTGGGGATCTGTCTGTCCCTCAAGCCTCACTTTGCTTTATTTGGATTCTGGGACTTGAACTCAGGCCCTCATGCTCGTGTGTATCTATGTGAGCATTGTGTGCATCTGTGTGTGTGTGGGGGGGGTGAGATTGCCGTGATGCACCTGCCAGGCCATAGGTCAACCCACAGGAGCAGTTTTCTCCTCATGTAGGTTCCAGGAATTGAACTCAGGGCTTGGAAGCAATCCTCTTTATCTGTTGAGCCATCTTGTCAGCTCACCATCTCTCTAGTAAATATCATTTTAATATGTTATGTGACGAAGCAGGTACCCCCCAGCTAGTTTGGTGCGCTGCAATACTGCAGCCTTAGGGGACAGCAATCTCACCGTAGCCAGGAACTTGTGAGCCAAACACGTCATGGTTTTCAGCCACCCTGTTTTCTCTTGAAAGGACAATGATATGATTGCTCTGATTTGGGCGTTTAGCAGATGTTCCCTTGAAGAAGAGATGAAAGGGCTCTGCTGTCTCAAGTAAAATGATGGGGGAGCTTTTGTTATCAGTGTTTACATTCTTTCTGAAGGGAACTTTATTTCCAGTGGTTACCTTCTTGCAGAAGGGATTGTTGGAATTCTGAGGACTAAGGATGTAGCCAGTTGGGAGAGCTGATACTTAGATGCACAGTGCCCTGGGATCAATACTTGGTACTGAGAGAAAGAGGAGCCAGAGAGGAGCCAGTGGGTAAAAGTGCTTCCTGTTTAAGGAGAGGACCCAGTTTCATGATGGCTCACAAGTGCTTATAGTTTGTTCCAGGGCATCAGACACCCTCTTCTGACCTCTAACACACTAGGCATGTGTGCACACAGTGTACATACAGACATGTGGGCAGACACTCATATACAAAAGGGGGGGGGAGGAAGGAAAAGAAAGAAATGAACTAGAATTTTCTGTTGGCTCGACCACTTTGAGCTCTTAGCAGGCTGTTCATGTCAGCCTTGGCGGGCCCACCTAGCTCTGTCAATCACTGAACATTACAGATGGATAACTGAATAAAGATATTCTAGGGGTGAGGTCTCTCTGAGCGTGTCTTGAGATGCCAGATTAGCCTGAACAAGTCCCTCAACTTCTCTCTTCATTTCCTTCTGGTGAGAAGGGACTTCCAGGGTGTCCAACTGCCTTGAGGGCAGTGGGGGGCAGTGGTCACCCTGTGATCACCTTGGAGGACAGTGGGGGGCAGTGGTCACCCTGTGATCACTCTGGAGGACAGTGGAGGGCAGTGGCCATCCCTGCAGCTGTTCATCTTCTGTGAAGCTTGGTACTCACCGTTGGGAAGAAATTCTGGCGTGTGTGACCCCATCAGGTGCTAAGATGGTCAGAACAGTCTTTCCTGAGCAGGACCTTGAGAAAAGACTGCCTCCAAAAACCTAGACTAGCAGTTGGCTTTTCCCCTCCTCTCTTCCCCTTCCCCTTCTTCTCTTCCTCCTCTCCCCTTCCTTCCTCCCTCTCTTCCTTAACCTGCAAAAGGTACATACTCAGCTCCAGGCCAGGAGCAGGTGAGGTGGTATCAGTATGTTTGGATCTTCCTGATTGCTATCAGGTCGAGTTCTGAGAGGGCCCCTTTCCTCCCTTTCTTTCCCCATCGCTCCCCCTTTCCCCTCCCCTCTCCATTCCAGCCATTCTAGCAGGTTTTGTCAACATTCACTCAGACTGTCTTCAGTCACCTGCTGGCACCCTTCTCTTTCCCGCAGCTCTTTGAAGGCTTGAAGGCTTTTCGGGGAGTTGATAACAAGATCCGGTTGTTTCGACCAGACCTCAACATGAAGAGAATGTACCGATCTGCCGTGAGGACCACTTTGCCGGTGTGTGCATCTATGGTACCTTCCATTTCGTGATTTGTTCCGGTCTTGTATCAAACAAAACAAGACAGGAATCCTTCTTGAATAATTGCATCAGGTTTTCAACAGATTGTATGAAGGCAGGGTACTTCCGGTAAGGTTAGATTCCTTACAAGGGCCAGTTCTCTCAGCCACATTGGTTGCTGAGCCGTCTTAAGACATTTACTGTAAATTTTAGCACCTTTGTGTAGAGAAGAAAATTAAGACCACCCCGGGGAGAGCAAACCACTTAGCCAAGGTGGCTCAGGAGGGCAAGTAAGTGGGCTTAAGTTTCTTTGATTTCCTAGCCTAGGTATTCATGGGATTGATTAAACTTCATCTCTGACCAGCTGCACCCACGACCTGACTTGTTGACACTGGTTCAGCCCTGCGCTGCGATCACGTGTAGAGGTCACCCTTCCGCTAGCCCGCGGTGCTGTTCGACCCAATGTCGCTCATCAGGTCTCTGTGTGTCCCTCTCTGGCCTGTAGCTGCCTGGAAACCGCTTGAGCCTTTTACCAAGGCTGTCTGTCCCCTGTGGGGTATGGAGACGTCCCGTCCCCCGAGGAATCGGCCCCTTGTCTGTCTAACCCATGTTCAGGATGGCATGGCCTGCCCTGGCGCCCTTCCTTACGGGTGTCTCACTAGCGACTTCCGGTCTCAAAAAACCAGGAGTCCTTAAGTTTCAAATAGGCAAATTTTATCTTTATTTTTCTTTGTGGTTTGTGTTTTCCTGGGGAAGAAGTTGTTTTGAACATTAAAGTTGCCGATATCATCTAGATATTTTCTTCTACTTGTTCATAATATTCAGTTATAAATTAAGAATGTGAGGTCACAGATGTCAATTTTTAAATAGAAGTCATAATGTTTTGTTAGATTTGAGTATAAAATTAAATTCTAATTGGATTTTAAGATAAGAGGTCACAGATGCCCATTTTAAAATAAAAGTCTTTATTTGTTACATTTGAGTGTGAAACCTAATTATAACTGATGTATGAGCGTACTAAGTGGGAACTGATCTTTTTTAAATAAAAATTTCATTTGTTTGTTTCTTTGGGTGGGGGGGCAAGTGTGGCGATCACAAGACAACTTTGCTTTCTCTCTACCATGTGGGTTCTTGGGATCAACTCGGGCCATCAGGTTTGGGGAAACATGGCTTTACATGCTGCGCCGTCTAGAGCCTCAGGGGATTTAGCTTTTTATCTTTTTCTTATGAATAATTCATACTTAATTAATTTTTTATTTTGCCAAAGGGATTCAGGATCTTTTTTTTTCTCTTTGCATTTATTACGGATTCCTTTCATGATGTTTCATGTTGGGGGAGAATGAACGAATAAAAAATGTCTGTTCAAGGAGTCGGTTGGGACTGTTAATAGGGGATCGGCCTTGGAAACTGAGTTTTCTGTCTGTTCTCTACCGGAAAGCCTGCCTTGTGTGCTCTGCCGGCATTCACTGGAGATTCTGTCTACTCAGGTGTTTGACGAGGAGGAGCTTCTAGAATGCATTCTGCAGCTCATACAGGTAGACCAAGAGTGGGTCCCCTACTCCACCTCTGCCAGTCTCTACGTCCGCCCCACGTTTATCGGAACCGAGGTAAACCTGACTCTTTTGTGATTTCAAAAGCCTTTTAAAAGCCGTGCATTTATTTTTTGTTTGTACATGAGTGGGCGTGTGCGTGCCACAGTGCGTGTGGAAGCAGAGAACATCTTGGGAGTTGGTTCTGAAGGAACCCTTGGGAGCACAAGGCTCCCCAAACCAAGTTCTTAGCACAAAAGATATTTATTTACCCCAGAGGGACAGAGGTCAGGGATGAGAGACAGAGACAGGAGATGGAGGGGAAGGGAGAAGGGGCAGGGATGTTTGTCCAGGGAGTGGGTGGTACAGGGGCACAAAGGACGCCTCTGAATCGGGAGGAGACAGACGTGGCCCATAGGCAAATGGCGGTTTATACAGGTAAAAGGGGAAACCTTGAGTTAGGATGAAGTGCTTAATTTTGATAGGGCATGTCAATTAAGGCAGCCAAAAGGGGGCTTTTGTTTAGCCAGCCTTAGGAAGAGGAGGTGACCAAGTGAGGGAATAGGCCTTGTGGCTTACAGTTTAGCAGGGCTGAGGGGATTGGGGGAAAGGGGACAAGATCTTCCAGGGCCATGATTGTCAGGCCCTGGCTGCCTAGGGTCCCTTCAGGTTCTTTCCTTTTACTGTGTGGGTTCTGGGGATGTCATACAGGCAGTTAGGTTTGGTAGCAACTGCCTTCCTCCTCACCGGGCCTTCTTGTGTGTCCCCAAATGTCATTGTCTGGGCACTGTTGCTCAGCTTAGCCTCCAGCCTGCTTCTTTCTTGGGCGAGGCTTTCAGAATGTGGTTTGAATGGCACCGCACCCCATCCTCCCCAGCTCACCTCCACCCCCCACTCCAGTCCCAACATTCATGGCTCCACGCATCCTCCCTATTGTCGAGGCCATCTTTTCTGTGAAAGATGAGACAATAGGTACTTTAGGTTGGGGGTGGGGCGGTGACAGTTTGCCACCATCAAATTGGTTACTGCAGGTAGTTCGCCCAGGACTAACAGAAGTGAAAGGCGTGAGGATAATTGCCTTCTCTTGAGCAAGACTGATTGCTAGCCCTGAGCTTTCTATGTCATCATGGCCGGCTTCTGGTGAGGCCTCCCTTTGTCTGCCAGTTAGGGAGAGAGTTTTAGTGTCTTTTTCTCTTTACAAAGACCCTTGTCCAGATGGAGGGATTTACTCTGTGACCTCACATGGTGTAATGTCCGGCCTTAGAGGCCCTGTGTCCTGGGACAGTCACCTCTTCACTGTCAGCCTGACTGGATTTGTCACCTAGGAGACACATATCTGGGCGTGTGTGTCTGTGAGGGTGTACCTTCGAGGGAGAGCCACCCCAGGGTGTGGACAATCCTGGGTCCCTACCTAAATCAGAGGGAAACTGAACAGAGTACCTGCACCTGTCCCTCTCCCTGGCCATCTTTCCAGCCCTAAGCTCTTTTTTCTTTTTTCAAAGGTCTAGGTAGGCCCAGACTCTTCTGCAGCTGAGCTGGCCCTGACCTCTTGATCCTCCTGCCTCAGCCTCCCAAGTGTTTGGATGACAGATATATGCCACAGTACCCAGCTCCATTTTCTCCTTTAACTTCAAAACTGTTTTTAAAAAGAAGTCTCTTAGCCGGACAGTGGCGGTGCACACCTTTAATCCCAGCACTCGGGAGGCAGAGGCAGGCAGATCTCTGTGAGTTCAAGGCCAGCCTGTTCTACAAAGAGCTAGTGCCAGGACAGGCTCCAAAGCTACAGAGAAACCCTGTCTCAAAGGAAAAAAGAAAAGCAGTCTCTGGTTGAAAGAGAAGGCAAGCTGGTCTCTTTGACAGGCTTCAGCCCCTTCTGGTCCCAGGCCTTAGCCTTTGCTTTGGTTTGCTTTGCTGGTTAGAACTGTCTGTCCTGCATCCTCCTCCCCACAACACACGCAGGCATGCACATGCACACGGCTGCTGTACTCTCTGCCTCTGAGGCGGCACTATTGGTTGGTACTGTCTGTCCTGCAGTCCCCTGCCCCCCAGGCCGCTAAGCTCTCTGCCTCTGAGGCCGCACTGTTCCTAATGGAATTTCTCAGCTCACTGGCTCTTTTCTGCCATCCTTCAAATAACCAGTGACATCCCGCCTTTCCGTGAAGCAATTCTGGGTGACCCAGAAAGAAACAGGCTTTGTTTGGCATCACACCTCCGTGCCGTTCCTCTATGCGGGGCGCAGAGGGGCTTCCGTGTTGTGGAGCCTTAGCTTGTGAAATAAAAGATCTCTCCCCTTCTCCCTCCCCCTCTCTGTGTACACTTACATATATAAACATATAAAGACATTAGTGTTTCAGCCTCAGTGAGGTCTCTTGAAGCACGTGAAATGCTACAGCCTTCCCCATTCTTTATTCAGATTATCTGAGGATACAGAGTCTGCTGTTGTTCTGAGCAGCCTGGGGTGTAGCTCCGTGGTACCATACTTACCTAGTGTGTATGTGACTCCCAGCATCTCCCCAGAAACACCCCCACCCCAAGGAGGAGCTAGGTGTGGTGCTATAATCACAGTCCTTGGGAGGCTGAAGCAGGAGGATTGCTCTGAGTTTGAGGCCAGCCTTGGCTGCATGATGAGACCCTGCTTTTCAAAGTCAAAACAAAAATGTCCCCGAGAGGATCAGACTGTAGCTTGCAGCCCGTCAGCTGCTGACACCTTATTTCCCGTGTGTTATGTGGCTTTCGTTTTAGTTAATGGGACACCCAGCTTTACCATCCCAGGATTCTGTCACTGTCGTTGATTGACAGCACTATTAAACTCTCTGACAAGGAGCATGGGGCTCAAATTGCTTTTCGCTGTAGAAGTGCCAAGTGAAGCCAAGGTGTTAGGGACCCTGAGGGGGAAGTGCCTGTCTGTCACCTAGCTCCTTCACAGAGCCAGAATGGCATTTGACGCATGCTCAGTATTGAAGTGGAATTGAGACTTTCTCTCCAGCAGAGTCAGTGAGTTCTTGGAAGATATAATCATTTTTTGTCTGTGAGCATTTTGTCTGTGTGTGTTTATCTGAGCTCGTGGGTACTGTGCCCTTTGAGGACAGAAGAAGGCATTGAATCTCCTAGAACTGGAATTACATCCCGTTGGGAGCCTCCTTGTGGGGCTGGGAACTGGACCTGGGTCCTCTGCAAGAGCCACATCCCTCCCTCTCCCCCAACGAGTTCTTTTCATGGAAAGGCAATATATGTAAATGACAGAAGTTTCCTAAGCTGTGATCCACAGAGGAACAGTCAGGTGACTTCAGTTTTAGAAGGTACGAAGTTACATTCTCACACACAGCTTTGGCCAGCATTGAAAACTGCAAATGTATAACTCAGCTGTTGCTAAGGATCCAGATATGAATGAAATGGTTCATCAGGATGCCTTTTCTAGAGGCACATTTGATCGAGATGCTGAATGAATCTGCCTTTCTCCTTCTGTCTGCGCTCTCTGCCGCCACCTGGTGGAATACATGCAAACGGGCTTGGAAAGTGAAATTTGCTTCTGTTTTTGTGCTGCTCTTGAAATCTAGAGGGCTTCGTGTGCCCTGCCACAAGTCTACCTCCTCATAAACTAGGTAAAATTCAGTACAGAAAAAAATTTATCCTATTAGGGGACTGTTACTTTTTAAATATAGTGCAAATTGCACTGATGCATTTAAACTCATTGAGGAGTCCCAGAACTCAAGTGGTAGATGACAAAGACCTATTAGGTTATACATCAGAAATACAGTTTGTTCAGAATTTAAAAGCTAGATGTGGTCATCAGGGAGCAGGTAGCATACTGTATCTTCAGTTTACTTAGAGTCCTTATCATTGTATTGGTTGCTTTTTTGCTGTGATAAAATACGGTGAGCAAGACAACCTAGAAAAGGAAGTTTATTTGGGCCCGTAATTCCGGACAGAGAGAGTCCTTAATGGCAGGGGACGCTAGCAGGAAGCCAGAGATCACTTCTTCAACCACTAACATAGAAAGTCAGTGAGGTTGTAATCGGCTGTATAGAGAGACTGCTTCTTCCACATCCACCTCCAAAACCAAACCAAACCAACAGCAGCAAAACCCAGACCATCCCAAAGGTTCTTAAGGGGCCATGGCTGCTCCTGTGTCTCTCTGATCTTTCAGCATTTGCCCCGATATCTGGCTCCAGGTTTTTATTATTAGTAAGACCAATTCGAACTCGTGTAATGTGTATGAGTGCGCGCGCACAAGCATGCACACGTGTGCGTGTGTGCATGCATCATGGCCCAGTAGTACAGGTAAGCCAACAAACTGGCCAGTTTTCTGAAGTTCCTTCTCATTTCACCTCTTTGAGGCGGGATCTGGCTGCTGTGTTGTGCTTCAGGCTAGCCGGCTTACTCTTGCCTCCTCTTCTCACTGTAGGAGTGCAGGGACAAGAGACACATCCTACCTTATCTGACTTTTTAACATTGGTCCTGGGGATTGAACTCGGGTAGTCAGGCTTACACAGGCTTACATGACCACCTCACCACCAGCCCACAGACGCTTCCCAAGGCTTACAGATATTTACCATTTGGTTCTTTTTTTTTTTTTCCCCCCAAGACAGGGATTTCCTGCCTGTCCGTCCTGGAACTCTCTTTGTAGCTCAGGCTGGCTTTGAACTCAGTGGTCCGTCTTTCCTCTGCCCCAAGTGCTGGGGTTAAAGACTAAAGTGCTGTTGTGAGAGACGACCTTGGGGCCAGGGGCAGGTGAGAGGCAAGTACACCATGCAGGCAGAGCTTAAGTGAGGGGTTTATTGAGAGAAGGGTGAAGGGAGGGAAGAGAGAAGGAGGAATATTTGGAGAGGAAGAAGCTAGGAGCAACCTGCCTCTGGAGCAGGGAAAGGGGAGGATGGGCGGAGCTTGTCTCTTAAAGGGTGTGGATTGCGTTGGGTGGGCTACTCAGTCTAGGGGTTAGTAACCCACCCGCAATCAAGTTATTCCAGGGTCTCGGAGGGGCGCTACCTGGAAGGGAGTGAGCTAAGACAGAAGAACGAGGCCAAGCAACTTTGTCAAGGCCTCAGTTTATTAGGGACGGGTTACAGTTTATATATGGTAAGGGATGAGGGGCAGGGTACGGGATCTCGCAGGCCGCGTGGTTCCGGTCACGTAGCTCGGTTACATTCAGACAGACAGGCCAGAAGTCACAAGTGGCCACACCTGGTTCCCTGGATAGCTGGAATGTGAGGCGGGTTCCGCTAAGATTAGCAGTTAATTGGGTGAGGGGCAGGTTTTGTCAATAGAACATAACTATGGGTGTGAGGTTCTCTGCAGACTCCCTAGAGTGATGGTCTCTGTAATGATTGTTAGGGGGGAAATGGCTCCTGACATATTCCCCCTCTCTTATATAAAGGCAAACAGTTATTAAGTGGAGGGCACTAAGTCAGAGTCAACCCTGGTGTCAGATTTAAAAGAGAAGGGACTGGGACAAGTAGAAACCCTCCTCTCGAATGGTGAAGCAATTTTACCTCTCATGGGAACAGAGGGGTGCCTTATGATTAGCATTAGTTCCTTGGAGCTTCTCAAATAAAAGGTATCTAGCAAGAGTTAAAGTAAGCAGACCACAGGGCATCCTGTCTTAGGCTGTGTGGAGAGCTTTCCTCGTACCTGGCACCATGCCATGTTGAGCCGGCCTTTACAGCCTCTGTATGGTGTGCTATTAAGGGACCTTTTGCACCCGCCTACCTAGGTAGTGACGTAGCAGCCACAGGACCCTAAGTTGGCCAGGGTACTGCCTGTTTTTTTTTTTTTTTGGATGTACGATGGTTTTTATTTACAACTTTATTGGCAAAAAGGGGAGAACTTTAAACAGCTTTAGTACAGGGCATTGTGGCTGACCCTGTCAGGTTGAACAAGTCCCATCTCAGCGCCCATCTAACTGTCCAGATGTGCAACACTGAACCTGCACATGCAGCTTCCTTTATCAAGTATAGCGCTCACCTTTCAGGCAGTCTTTAAAACATATGGTACTGCCTGTTTTTATCTTGCCAGGTGACAGGGGCCAGCATAATGCCTGAATCCTAACAACTGTTACCCAGCCACCATCTGGTTCTTAATGAGGGGGCCCGGACAGACAGACAGACAGTGTGCAGTAGAGCAGGTGCGATGGAATGCAAGCAAATGGCAGCTTGACAGGCCAGCATCAGCTTGTCAATAAACCCCCGCACCCATCACTGTCGCTTCTCATGGCTGCCATCCTTGGTGATGCCAGCAGATCAGGCTGCAGTTAACACCTGTCGCAGGCAATCCTGGTTGGTTGTCTGTTCCTGAGGTCTTGCGCTGCATAGCTCACTGGAAACAGACCATTCTCCCTTTAGGACACACTGCCTCGGATACTTTCAGTCTCTAATAATCCATAGACCCAAGTTAACATCCTCCCTTGTGCTGGAGGAGTCTGTAGGTCTCCGGTACTCAGAAAAGGCTGTCTCTCCTCTGTCTTTCATTCATTTCTTGTTTAAAGACTATTTTTATTTTATGTGCAAGGTTGTTTTTCTGTGTGTGTGTGTGTATGTGTGTGTGTGTGTGCAGTACCGGAGGAGGCCAGAAGAGGGCACTATGAACATAATGCACTGGCAGTGGCATTATGAACAGCTGTGAGCCTCCATGTGGGTGATGGGAACTGAATCTGGGTCCCCTAGAGGAGCAGCCAGTGCTGTTAGCTGCTGGACCACCTCTCCAGCTCCCGGTTCATGATGCGAGGTCTCCTGTCCTTTTGATGTTATTTCTCCTGTCTTGTCATCTCTGTCTAGAAAAGCTACCCCATCTGCCGCTTTTTATTGCCTTACAGGCAGGCATGGTCGCAGCCTCCTTCCCCATGTCTACTCCCTGCTCACTGTCCTCACATGTTCTGGATGCCCAGCAGGCTGGGAAAAGAGTCATAAACTGAAGCTTAAAGTTTTTTTTAAAGTCGCATTTATTTATTTTGTGTGTGTGCAGGGTGGGGCTGGAGGGATGTGCATGCCATACCATGCGTGTGGAGGTCAGGGGACAGCTTATGGAGGTCTGTTCTCTTCTTTCTACTTGTGATGTTTAGGGATCAGGTTCCAGTTAGTTGAATTTTCGGGCTTGGCAGCAAGCGCTTTACCCATTGAGCCATCCCATGTCCCACCCTGTCCTGTCCTTCTCACCCCCTAACCTAAATACTCGTAGTCAGTGTTTTCTTTAAAAGGCTTTGGTTGGGTACCCCTTCTAGGCTTACAAAGGATGTCTCGCTGTCTGTTACAGAGGTGTCTTTTATCTTTATTACAGCCGTCTCTTGGAGTCAAGAAGCCATCCAAAGCCCAGCTCTTTGTGATCCTGAGCCCCGTGGGATCTTATTTTTCTGGTGGAACATTCAATCCAGTGTCACTGTGGGCCAATCCAAAATATGTCAGAGCCTGGAAAGGTGGAACTGGGGACTGCAAGATGGGCGGGTAAGTCAGTCTGGGCGTCCTTTCCTGGCTGTTCAGTGGTGGTTGTGTGCCTCCAGCCATGTGGGCAGAGTGTTCAGAAGTGAATAAATAGCTCTTTGTGCTTTAAGATTTAGCTAGGCGAATTCTGGGAAGAGGAATGGCAGAGACACAGTCACAAGCCAGATGCAGAGGAAGCAAGATGAGAATGCCTCACTGAGAAAAGGTACCAAGCCACGTGGCTAAACATGGATAAGAATTATGGGTTAACTTAAAATGTAAGAGCTAGTTAATAAGTCTGAACAGTAGGCCAAACAGTTTATAATTTTTTTTTTTTTAAAATTAGCTTTGTCCATGTGCTAGTTGCTGGTGTCACTTGTGGCCCCTTCTTAGGCAGCAATGACAGCGATAACATGAGCGTGGGACTGTGCTTTGAACCCGTACCCCTGAGCTCTGCTCCTCTCCAGCTGCAGGCTGGTTCTGGAATTGATGCTGTCAGTTGGCTCCAGGGAGCTGTCTGGGAAGGTGCCTGCTTCCCTGAAACACTGTCTGCTCTGCCATGGATGGCAGGCACACCTGCTGTGAAGGGATGGAGGAAAGCCCCGCTTTGGTATTGCCTGGCCAGTCTCACAGACCGTATGTAGTCGGCAAGAAATGAAAGCACATTTGAGATGGGCTGACCTGTTTCAGGATGTACTTGGCCCTGAATTCAGAATGCCCCTTGATGGGTAGACTGGAAGGATTAAGTTCGCTGGGGCTCTTCCCAGGTCTGAATCAGCTGTGACATACATGTTACAGCCAGGGCAGACACTCCTGGAAAGTGACTTTCCATGATGTCCTGGGAGGTTTAGGATAGTCAGAGCCCAGTGAGCAGCCTCTGAGATGTGGGGGATGATGACATCTGGATCTGAAAGGTACCCTGCTCCCAGGGACAAACCTTTTCTTTCTTACCATTTCTAGAGATGAGCTTCTCTAGAGAAATATGTGTAGCAGGCTTTTTTGGACTGCCAGTCCCCAAACTGTGACATGGATACTTTTTATTAGTTACGAATGTTTGACCTTGGCTTATGATCATTTCTAGCTAGCTCTTATAATGTAACCTGTTTCTCTTCATGTATGTTTTGCCTCCGGGCTTTTCACCACCCTTTCCTTCTGTATTCCTACCTTTCTGTGTCCTCCCTGTCTGCCTGGCTGGGCGCTGCCTGGCTGGCTGGTCCTAGGTGTCTCGCTCTCTGTCTCCCTTGTTCTCTCAAGGCTAGATTTCTCCTATTTACTCTCTCTGCCTGCCCCATCTATTTCTCTATTCCCTAGCTATTGACCATTCAGCTTTTTATTAGGCCAATCAGGTGCCTTAAGTAGGCAAGGTGAAACAAATGCATCACATCTTTATATGTTAAACAAATGCAGCAAAAATAAATGTAGCATTTGTGCACACTTAAATATTCTATTCCACAACAGCTATAGATTCGTTGCTTGGGGGTCTATTCCTTCAGTCTTTTGTATTTGTAACATTGTTACATCTAACTTGAACAGTATCTGCCACAGAGGAACAAAAGACAGAGTTCTAATCTCTCTTTAAAAGATGGAGGCTGGAGAGACAGCTCAGCGGTTAAGAGCACTTGCTGCTCCTCTAGAGAGCTGGAGTTAAATTCACTGCATGTCAGGAGGCTCGCAACAACCTGGAACTCCAGCTCCCTGGGATCTGATGTTTTCTTCTGACCTTTGTAGGCAGCGGCATGTGACTTATGGCAAACACAGACACATGTGGAGACTGTGTATTTGTGTTACTGGAATATCAGTGCTCATCTTGTCTTTCACTATAAATGCCAGTGAGCAGAGGCAGGGACCGACGATTTAAGGTGCACTCTATTCGCAGAGTCTGTCATCTGAGAACAAGGTAGAATAGCATCTTAGCATCTTGTCTCACGTCTCATCTGCATCCAGCAGTCCTGGGGGAGGTAGAGTTAGGCACAAAGCAGCCCATAGGCACAAAGCATGATGTGGGAGTGTCATATCAATCTGTTGATTTCATTGGCTGAGCAATAAAGAAACTGCTTGGCTGGCCCTCATAGATTAAAGCATAGATGGGAGGAGAAAACAGAATAGGATGCTGGGCGGAAGAGGAAGTGAGGTCAGACTCTGCTCTGCTTACGGAGAGACCGGACAGCTCTGCTGGAGCAGAGACGCCATGCTCAGCTCTCCCGGGCAGATGCACGCAATGAAGCTCCTCCGAGCAGGCTAGAATCTTCCCGGTAAGCGCACCTTGGGGTGCTTACACACATCATTAGAAATGGGCTAGTCCAGGTGCGAGAATTAGCCTGTAAGGGCTAGAGTTCATGGGCCAAGCAGTTCTTAAATGAATACAGTTTGTGTGTTGTTATTTCGGGCATGAGCTAGCCAAGCGGCCGGGGTGTTGGGGATGCAGCCCCGCCGCTCTTATTTCAACAAAAGCAGCCCATCATTGGAGCTCTGCCAGGTGTCAGGCAATTTTCTGAGACCCCTGGTGTTCTTACCTCTCCTGTTTTAAAACTTATTATATGTGTGTGTGAGAGTTTTGCCTGCCTGTGAGTCTGTGACCCATGTTCTTGCCTAGTGTCCTTGGAGGGCAGAAGGTGGCCTTGGATCCCCTGAATCTGTACTTCTAGGTGGTTGTGAGTGGCCATGTGGGTGCTGGGAACGGAACCCAGTCCTTTGCAAGAGAAACCGTTGTTCTTACCACTGAGCCATCTCTTCAGCCTCCTTGTGTCTCATATATGTGTCTACATTCCCAACGTGGAGTATAAATGTCTCCTTATAGGGCAGAATGTTAAGGAGCCCCTCTTTGTTCCTCCCACCACCATTATTGGTACAATTGGTCACTTCTTGTCCCCTTCCAGGGTCCCATCTGTCCATGCTGCTGACCTCAGGTTTTGTGTCACTGGGATCAGTTTTAAAGTCAGTCAGCCTTTTTCCATCTGCAGGCTGCTCCCAGTCCATGGTTGTCCCTGGGCCATCATCGTGGCATTGTATGAAGACCTTAGCCCACACGCAGAGTGCCTTGACATAAATGAGTTGACATAGTCATAGGTTCTGAGGTTCAGGGCGTGGGTATCACTGCATTGAATTGTGTGGCAAAGCTAAAAGCGTGAGTGTATTATCTGACCATCTCATGTGTTAATATTATGTGCTGGCGTAATCTTTATCTATCAGGGAGTAATAAAGCCGGGACACTTTGGGCTTCCCTTTGAAGTCACTAAAGAGAGGGAAAAAAAAATGTAGGCTATTTAAACATTAAAGAAGCTTGGGGACTTGACTTTCCAAGCCCTTAGAGCCTGAGGCATTCTGAGATAATGGAGATGTATTGGTTGAGAAGCTGTTTCCCATGGGCCTCACATCCAGGCCTGAGTTTCAAGTTAGTTCTCAAATCCTGTTTCCCCTCCTTCCCCTGTCAGGGCAGCATCTGTTTAATTTTTTTTTTTTTTGATATTTATCTATCCTATAGTTACTTTATCTATTTGTGTCTATGTGCCAGTGTATATGCCATGGCATGCAAGGCCAGAAGCCAACTCATGGGAGCTGGCCCTCTTCTTCCCCTGTGTGGGTCCTGGGGGATCAGACTCAGGCTTGGCAGCGAGTGCCTTTACCTGCTGATGCATTTGCTGGCCCAGGGCAGGATGTTAAAGAAAATGCTTGAAGAAAATAGGTCAGTTTATTGGGGTTCTTAACGCAGAGAATGGTCTGTGGTTTTCTCATCTGAGACAGTGCCAAGTCTACGTTAACCAGGTTTGGTTTTAGAGAGCACTAATTCTTCAAAATTATAAGTGGGTTATAGTGATTAGTGATGCTGGGGGAGAAAGACAAACTTGGGTCTGACATGTGCTATCTGTCGAGAGAGAGAGAGAGAGAGAGAGAGAGAGAGAGAGAGAGAGAGAGAGAGAGAGAGAGTTGTGCCTTGTGCACGCTGACATGTGGGTTCCCACTGGTCTAGATCATTGTTTTTTCTTTCTTAAGAAAATTAATAAATGGGGATGGAGAGGTGACTCAGTGGTTAAGGGCACTGGCTGCTTCTGCAGAAGACCTGGGTTCGATTTCCAGCACTCACATGGTGGCTCACATCACCTGTCACTCCAGTTCCAGAGGATCCATCTCCTTCTCATTCCCATGGGGGCCCTGCAGCATTTACCTAAATTGTTCTATTATTAATAAAAACCTGATAGATCAAGAAAGCAGCAGAGGAATGTCCAGCTAACCTTATCTCTCCTCAAAAGGGCCCCCGAATCTTTCTAAGTCCCTCTCTACTTTTTCCTGTGCCTCTCTATTGTATCGAATCCTGGGTCCTCCAAAATCTTCATGGCTGATTTCAGTCAGTTGGTCATTGGCTCTGGAGTGTAACAGTATGATCAAATATCCTATAACATTTCCCCCTTTTTATCTAAATAAAAAGGAAATGTTTTAGCTCTAACACAGCAAAACTATATATAGTAAGAATTACATTCATAATGTCCAGTCCATTTGTATTTGGCAATTTCGGAGAAAATACTCTTATCTATCTATCTTGATGAGTCCAAATTTTTATACCTAGACCACTTTCTATCATACCTTGTAGTACCATCCTAAAAATATCCTTTTAGACCTAAAACATTTTCCTAGATAAACATCATAGTTTCTCAACCTTATAAACTTTATATCTCTTTTGTAAGTTTCTTTTCTGAACTTGGTAAGAAAAAAAATGATATAACTATCTAGTCTTCAATTCCATCAGACCAGAGAGAATAGAATACTACCTGAGTAAACAGGAAGTGCAGTCCAAACAACTTCCAAAACTTTAGAAATGACAGAGACATCTGGACAGTTAGCCAAAGTTCCTCTGCATTGTTGGGGCATCCATCTTTGGCCTAGGATATCTGACAGACTCTTCTGTGAAGTTGGAATTTTGAAGGACTCTCCTCCCTTGTCTTAGCCAAGTTCAACAATCACCTTTTGTGCCTTGCTCGTCCAGTACAGACAGCTTATTGCCAGCAGTTGAGACAAGGGCAGTTTCTCTCCCAGTGGCTAAATTTGCCACAAATGAAAGCAAACTCCATATGGAGGTTCTTTGACGCCCATCATCTTCTCCGAAGTAGACTGGTGCTGCCAGGAGCAGACATGTTTCATCGTCATTTAAAGCCTTATGTTATTAAAATGTTTTAAATAGTATATTCTATCTCTGAAGTGTTTGAAGATCATCTATCTGAAATATCTATTTGACCTTGAAAACACACCTAACATCATAAGTTTGCATGTTATAGATGACTATTAACCTGCATTTCTTAATTACCCTAAATAGTTTATAATAATAACTTTCAAACTATTTATTTGAAACTAAACTTTACATTTTAAATGAGCTGTAAAGGCACAATACATTAAACAAGAGTAGAAAATATATACATACATATGTTCTAACAAATAACCTTAAATTTGTATCAATATACAAAAATCTATACCAATGTAAAATATTTGACATTAATAGCTATTTTTTTTTAGTTTAAAAGTGTTTCATTTTATCCTGTCATTCCTATGTCCACCTCCCTTTCTTTTTTTTATCTTTTCAGAAAGAGATCCCAGAATCTAACCTCCTTTGCTTAGTGTCCTTCTTGACCATGACCAATAACAACTTGCAACCAACCCCACTAAATGATGATAAACACCTATAACTACCAGATGACCAAAAACCACCCACCCCACTTCTTGGGAATGTGGGCGTCGTGTTCTTAAAACTACTTCCTGTTGTCTTAGGACAACAGCATCTTTAGGGGATCCTGGGAAAGTGAAGATGATGATCAAGCTCTGGGAGAGCTAGCTGTTGTCCGGTCTCGATACAATGGGAACATGCAGCGTTTATTGGAAGCCCTGGCTGGAGTGGTCTGAAGCTAACCCGTCTTAGCTAACTGCCTTGACGTTGTAGTCCAAAGCTGATCTGGCTAAGTGGCACTGCCACAGTGTAGGTGGCCTCGTCATTGCAGGATGCCACCATCTTCTGGAGACCTCAGAGGTTACTACCAGGCACAGTCATGGTTCACTGCAGAAAACAGCAATTTAAATGAAAATATACAGCAGATCTTGGAGAGGTTAAAGGACCACAATCTGTTAAATCATCCGGGGTGCTCAAACTTAGTTCCTAGTTACCTGCTTCAGACTCAAGCCCAAAATCGCATACAGGAAGCTAGATGAAGCTTATTTCTAGGATTAGTTATTATTCTATATGATCATTAATATCTATCTGTCTGTCTGTCTCTCTATAGATATCTATATGTATCTTATACAATTTGTAAACTATCTTTTATCTTAGGTAATTAATAGAATCTCCTTTGTATTTTTTTTCCCAGTAGCATTTTATAATTCCCAACAAGGCAAAATTCTCTTCAAAAATTTTCTGTTATCTACATTCGAATCAGCTAATAAGATATCATCCATGTAATGGTAAATTATAGATTGAGGAACCTTTAAGAATTATTTCCAATAACTGTTGTACAAAATATTCTGGGAGGGGCTATTTAACATTCTTTGTGGCAAGACACTACTGGTATCTTCTAACAGGTTGACATTATTATAAGTGGGCACCGTGGAGTCAAACTTTTTTCCATCTTGTTCTTGTCAAGATATAATTAAAAAAAGCAGTCTTCTAAATCCACGCAGACAGGTTTGTCGGTTAAACATTTTAAAGGCAGGGAGGGCTATTGGTACCTTTGAAAGATCAACAGCTGTTGTGCCCTGCTTATGGTACAACTTGAATGGTTGGTGACTCTTAATTCCTTTTAATATTTCTCTCAGAAGCATTCTTTATTTTATGGTTTGTTTCTGAGATTGGAGGAATGTTAATCTGTGTTTTCCATTGCTGAAACAAATCATGTCCCCATAAATTCATTGCTGTGTTAGATTCGTATGGCTTTAATTTTACTATCTATCTTTCTGGCCCTAAACACTCAACTTACCTTGTACTTTGATTTACCTGAGATAAAATTCCAATTCCTAGAAACTCAAATATTTACCCCCTGAAGAGGCCAATCTGGATGCAGAGATTTTGGTGCAATTATTTTACATCTGTGCCTGTGTTAACCAAACCTTCACTTACTATGCATTTATTCGTATTTTTTGCTTTTATCATTGATCATTTATAGAAGTTTGCCAAATTCCTTGCTTTACAGTCTCTCCTGAGAGTTTTGTCTTACCTGCTGAAGCTGTTCTGTCGTCCACAGTACAGGTTATAACAATAGGCATTACGTCCTTTAATTGCTCTGTGGAGGAGTTTCTTCAGTGCCGACAGGGAGTGATTGAACCAAATTTGATATTGGGACCTGTGAGAGTCCCCCCAACACAGTTTGCAGTGGTAAAAGATTACTTCTCCATCCTAGTCCAATGCTGGCTGTTGCCACACTTTCCGTCTACTTCAGAAGGCTGGGATCTTCTGTTTGGGTTATCTCTAGAAAAAACATTCTTTCCAGGAATGTTTTGCCTACAATCCCTTTTCAGATGACCATGCTTATCACAATTAAAACATCTTACCTTTTGACTTTTTCTAAAATTTTTAGAAATCACTTCTGTCAAAGTAGTATCATAAGTGAGATCCAGTATTAGCTGTATTTCTGATCCGTTCATTTTTGGGTGCTGATCTTGTTTTTAAAGACCTGGTCACTCTTTTGCATCACGAATGAACATTTTCAAAAGCCAAAGATTCGATTCATATTTGTCTAACTTCTGGATTTGATATTATTCTATTTACAGGTGAGGTCAATCTTTGCAAAAAATCAGTGAAGGCTTCTTTTGGGCCTTGTATAGTTTTAATAAATGGTTCAGTCCTCTCTCCTGATTCTTCAGCCCTGTCTCAAACATCTACCAAGGTGTGGCCATCAAATCCAAACTTTGCAAATCAGGTACTGGCCATCACTGAGAAGCTGGTCCACTGAGAAGCTGGTCTTGGGAAATATCATGCCTCTAGCCCTATTTTGTCGTTCTATGGCTCTAGCTTCATCTTTCCAGAAGGTGCCTAGTGTTTCTTAACACCAGGCTGTTTGGGGACATGCATGTGATTCTCCTTGTTCCGCTCAGTTGTGATGGTCCCGCATGGGCCCGTGAACATGGATTTCTTTGGTGTTAGAGTCTCTATTGCGCTTTCTTTAATGTTCTGAAGATAAAGTAATGTATTAAAGTGATATCTCGTGTGTGCATGCTTGTGTTTGCATGTGTTCCTGTCTGTCTGTCTTTGTGATTAAAGGTGGGCACAGTGACTCATTGCCTTAGCAGACATTATCAGATCTCACAGCGGGGCGGGGGGAGGGCACTGGGGAGGGTGGTAAGAGTGAACCAACTCCCATGATTTGTCGTCTGACCTCCATACATGCACTCTGGAGTCATGTTGCTCTCTCTCTCTCTCTCATGAATGGGAACTTGAGACCGTAAGAGTGGGTGACACATGTTCGTAACCAGCAGGTTTTCTTCTCCCCACCAGCAATTACGGTGCATCCCTTTTGGCGCAGTGTGAAGCAGCGGAGAATGGTTGTCAGCAGGTCCTCTGGCTGTATGGCAAGGATGACCAGATAACCGAAGTGGGCACCATGAATCTGTTCCTCTACTGGATAAACGAAGATGGAGGTAATTGCTCTTCTGGTGATATGATCGACTGTTGACGACGACAAGGGTCCAGAGGCTGCTATGGAGCTGGCATCAGACTTGGTTTTATATTCTTGTTTCTGTTGTCTGGGTTGAGCCTGTGGCTTAAACCTCAGCTGATGGAGAGATGGCTTGGCACACTAGGGCAGTGGCTGCTGTGGCAGGGGACCTCTGTTCTGTTCTGAGCAACCACGTGGTGGTCGCAACTGTTAGTTACGCAGTGTCAGGGAATCCAGTGCACTCTTCCTGCCTCCATCAGCACTGCACACATGCAACGCACAGACATACAGACAAAATACATATAGTGTCATAGCACTGTCGCTAGTGCTGAGTCTTGGTTAGTTCAGTGGTTGTTCATTCTGTACCAAGTAGTATGTGCTAGTAACCATCTGTTGACTATGGTGGGGGGGGGGGGGTTTAGTGCAATGCTACATGCTAGGCAAGCTCGTTTTAGAGCTACACTTGTGGCCCCCGTTTTACTGTTTATTTTGAGGCTCTCTGTAGTTGCCTGGGGTGGCTTGAACTCACTGTGCACCTCACAGTGGCCTTGAGCTTGCTGTCTTACCTGAGTTTCCAGCATGGTGAGGATACAGACATGCTTTGCTAGGCTTGGCTGGGATGCCCCTTTGACTTTTGTTTGACTTTGTGATGCTAAAGGCATAAGTCAGGACCCTTCTGCCTGTTGTCAGGGCTCCACTTCTGCCCCATACCTCTCTCTCACTCAAGTTCTCTTCAGAATTGGTGTTGTTGCTACACATTTTGATGACATCTCAGAAGTCCTATAGACTTTCTTTTTGTTTTCATTTGATTAACTACACTCTTAGGGCTACAAGGAGGTTCAGTGGTTGGGAATGCTTGCCACCAAGACTGAGTTCAACACTTGATACCCATAAGGTGGAAAGAGAGAACCTATCCCCCAAAGTTGTCCTAGTACCTCCACCTGGATGCCCTGGCACATGTGTATCTGCACATTCCCATGCAAAATGCACAGTGTATATCCTGCCCTGGCCATACATGTTCATTGACTCCTGCTGGCCACTGTATGTAAATCACAGAGATTCTGTTCTTTTGTTTTTTTAAGATCTTGAACTCACTATACAGTCATGGCTGATCCTTCATTCTCTGCTTCCTATGTGTGTGGAATTATAGCATACCTGGCTTGAGGTTTTGTGTTTTTTTTTTTTTTTGTTTTGTTTTGTTTTGTTTTGTTTTTGAGGTAGGGTCCCATTCTGTAGTCTGTGCCAACCCCAAACTTACAGGATTCCTCCTGTCTCAGGCTGTAGAATGCTGTAATTATAAGCATGAGCCCCTATATGTGGCTTAAAATTCAGGGCTGTCTCCAGCATCCTGAATGGTCAGTGTCTGCCTTTGATACGGGTTCAGTGAAATGGTGACACTTTATGTGGTGGAGAAGGAAGTTTCTATCCCACCTGGTCCCACAGCCCTTCAGTGCCAAATAAACACATGGAGGCTTATATTAACTATAAATTATATTAATTATAAACTATCAAAATAAACACATGGAGTTTATATTAATTATAAACTATATTAATTATAAACTGACCCATTGCTCAGGCTAATTACTAACTAGCTCTTACAACTTAAATTAACTCATAATTCTTATCTATATTTAGCCACATGGCCTGGTATCTTTTCTCTTCCCAGAATTCTCCTATTCTGGTTGTCCCACCCATACTTCCAATAAACCAATCAGTGTTTTATTAAACCAATACAAGTGACAAATCTTTACAGTGTAAAAGAGCATCATCTTCTACAATATGATGTTGAGTTAAATGACCCAGGTCAAGGAACAAATTAGACCTTCATTGACCATTAGGATTTTGATTGGTATGTGTAATTTAGGAGCACATTTTTAGACCTGTTTATATTTCTCGATTGCTTATTTCACAGAAAGTAATTGTGGACATTGAAGTGTGAAATGAAGTCAGGTGTGACTGGCTGTTCATGTCTCTACCACCAGTACTAGGAGGTGGAGATAGGCAGATCCTGGGAGAGACCCTGATTCAAAAATAAGGTGGAGAGCAATAGAGGGACTCAGTGTTCTCCTCTGGTTTCTGCATGTATGCACACACCCACATGCAGGCACATGCATACATACACATGCATATGCACACACATGCACACATGTATACATGTACACATGCACCTCACCCACATGTACATACCCACATACACATGAGTATGAACATACATCACACCCACATACACAAGCATATGCACACACGCATACACACACATAAACGCATGCACACACATACACACCCCACACGTATGTACACACTCACATATGCATGTACATGCATACATATACACAGATGCACATGGACACATGCACATACATGGACACACTCACCCACAAACACATGTATATGCACACATACATGTGCACACACACACAGAGAATTAAATGATACTTCTAGGTACAAGCTCCCCGTCTTAGGACCGTGTTGCTTTGCAGAAGCCCCACCCCGCTTCTCCCTGCTTTATTGCTATAACGGGAAAGAGGTGATTCAGATGAGGCAGAGTGCAGCACGGTGTATCTCAGGATGTGTTTCCTCTGGCCCTGGGCATATGATTCAGCCAGATGCAGCAGGTATACTTCTACTCCTGCTGCTTGTACATAAACGAAATTTACCTTGGAATTGTGGGGCTTTCAAGCTGGAACTTCTCATAAATATGCCTCTGAAGTGACGATGCCGGAGAGGTGGCGATGTCGGAGAGGTGGTGGGCACCAACCTCTGCATGCAGGAGACGTCGTCTTCCCTGCCCACTCCTGTGCCCGTTCCTACCCACCCAATACCACACACCACCACAAGCACAAACAGGCACGTCATCCAGAAAAGGCAGTGCCATCATTTATGGGAGATGCCAAGGACTTAACCGTCGCCTGCATCATAGTTGTAGAAGTTATCCAGATGCTGTTCTGGTGACTAACTGTTCCTTCGTGTTCACAGAGCATTCTTGCATGGCTGTAAGATCAGAGTAGAAATAAGAGGCTTTGTCTCCCAACTTTTGTAAAATATCGGAGTCCTCAATAAGAGTAGATTTTATAATCCGCTCAAGCAGATTCTCGTCTCAGAGTGCTCCTTCAGTTGGTGTGTTCACCACCAAGTTAACAGGGTGGGAGTGAGTGGGCCTGGGATGAGCGCTCTGCTTCCAGAGGACCAAATTCAGTTCCCAGCACCTACGTCTGACAGCTCACAGCTGCCTGTAATTCCAGTTCCCTGAGATCCACAGACGTTCACACATGTACAATAATGAAACAGAGTCCTCTCCCTTGGGCGTCTTTAGTCCCCTTCTCTACCTCAGCCGTGATCCGACACTCTAACACATCCTCGCGTGTCTCTCCCGGGAGGGTGAGGAGGAGAGAAAACAGCGGCTCACAGAACTCAGGGCAGTAACCAGCCCCCGGCATTCTCCGAGGAATAGGCTGCATCTGTAGGGTTCTGTTTCCCCCGGCGCAGGCTCCTGTGAGTGTTTGGGTGGCAGGGGAAAATGACTGCTTCTCACCCAAATGTCGGCATGTCATCGGCTCTGTCTGGGGACCAGTGGAACAGATGTTCTGTTCCGTGACCTCAGGCTGGTGGTTACAGTTGGATGCTAAATCCGTTTCCCACAACAGTCTTTGCACACTTGGAGGCTGCTGTTTGTGTTTAACTCGGTGTTGTCTTAGAGTTGAGCTAACTGTAGGAAGGGTCTGTGTGTGTGTGAAAACGGCACACACACACATACAGATGCACACACTTCTGTGTCTAGCTAACGAGCTATCGCAAAACGCGTTTATTTTGAGATCATTAACACTTCGAAAATGACAAGTAGCCTCCGGAACGTTGCCAGAGCCAATTTCTTCTTTCTAAAATTTTCAAAAATAATCTCTACAAATCAAACTGCGGCAGCCTAGCAAAGACGATTCATTCATTCATTTTGTAAAATTAAAAAAATAAATGCTTATTATAGGGGCTTGGGGCATGCCCCAGGGGCTCAGAGAACTGCCCTTCCACAGTTCCCAGGACTTAAGTGGTCAGGATTGAAGTAGGGTGTTTTCCACCTTATGTTTTAAGGTACAAGGTGAGCCTAAGGCTACTGATTTGACAGCCCATCCTTGCCTCTGCAGCACCGATATGAGCCACCCCGTTCAGCTTTTACATGGGTGCTGGGATCTGAACTCAGGCCCTGACTCGGGCTTCCCTGCCCAGACTACCCGGTTCTGAGGCACAGGTTGCTGGCTATGGCACTGGCGTGGGTCCTGTGCACGATTTTATGTTTGCTGCTCTAAGTGCCTACCAGCTTTTATTCACTAAGTAATCGTTCTGATCTAGACGTTTATTGGGAAGAGCGTTCTTTAATTCTCACTTCCGAGAATAGACTTTATTTATTATTATTTGTATGTGTGCGTGCACATGTGTGCATTCCTTAGAAACTGCATTGCTTTACATGTGTGCCGGAGCCCTTGGCAGCCAGAAGAGGGTGCTGGGATCCTCGGAACTAGAGTCACAGAGAGTTGTTAGGTGCCCTAGTTGGGTCCTCTGCAAGAGCAGCCAGTGCTCCTAAGGGTTGAGCCGTCACCAGCCTGAATCTCTTACCCTGGAAGCAGTTCATTGTTCCACAGCTGAAGGAAGCATGGAAGACGACTAAATAAGGAGCTGCCTTTCTGTGTCAAAAAAAAAAAATCTTCCTTTTACAAAAGTTGTATTGCATTCTTTTACGTTGTGTAAAACAAATAGCATGTACACTGTGCACATGTGGGGTGGTCAGGGGACACCCTGTGAGATCAGTTCTCTCTTTCTACCACGGGGTTTCTGGGGGGTTGAACTCAGGGCGCCAGACTCGGAAGCTACCTTTATCCACTGAGCCATCTTGCTGGTCCCTTTTTGGTTTTGCTCATTTAAGAAAATTTGTGTTGTTCTTAGTCGTGTGTGTGTGTGTGTGTGTGTGTGCATCCGCGTGAAGAAGCGTGCCCACAAGGGCAGTGCCCATGGGTTCTGGGAGAGAGGACAAGATCCCTTGGAACTGAGTTACAGGCAATTGTGAGCCTCTTATGTGGGTACTGGGAGCAGAATTCTCGTCCTTGCAAGAGCAATACCTGCTCTTACCCACTGAGCTGTCTCTCTTGTTCTTGTATTAAAATTAGTACCTGGCTGAAAACCGAGTAGATCTTTGAGAGCTTAACGATGCAGGACAGTGGAGTTCACTACCTGCATGTTTATTATTGGTCTAATCGTGGGAAATGTTTCTAACGTGGCAATCGCAGCGGCATGTCTGATGAGTGAGATTTTGCGAACACTCCTGTTTCTAATTAACAGAAGAAGAGCTGGCGACGCCTCCGCTAGATGGCATCATCCTCCCAGGTGTGACGAGACAGAGCATCATCGAGCTGGCGCGGCAGTGGGTGAGTGCCCTTGATCCCAACTTCCAAGTCCAAGATAGGATATCATATCCTGAGGTTCCCACCAATAGTATCTAATCTTCAAATATTCCCTCGAGCCAAAGATCTCTCTAGAAGGTCTGTGTTGGCAAAACCAGCCAGTAAGTATTCTCTAGCAGGGCACACAGAGAGCCAGCTGAACAGGCTGTCTGGGCAATGAGGGCTTCTGACTCGGCTCAATGCATACAGGGCGACTTCTGCTACTAATTTACCTGCGCCACGCTGGGTGTTTCCACGCAGCCCTTAACTTCAACTGTGAGGTGTTCCTCATTGCGCTTGTGACGTATTTATCCCAGTGTGTCCATGACCATTATAGGAGCTACAGGTTTTCATTGATGTATTTATATCAGCAAAATATTGATTTGTCTGTCTTTCTCCCTTTACTGCCCTCCCCCCATCGTCTTAGATTTTTACACATGCTTATTTTAAAATTAAAAACACTTAAAGCAAATATAAAGTTTTCAACAGACTTTCTAATTCATGCAAAGAGGCAGGAGTGTTGACACCTGTGTCATCTGAAGTGACGCAGCATTTGTGAGGTAGATGTGGAGTGGACTGGCAGGCTGGCGTGGGTCTTGGCTGGTGCTTGTGACCCACATGTTCTAAAGGTCCCCAGAGACCACGGGAAGGCTTTGAGCACCCTGTGGCCAGACAGTCCTCGCAGACAAATGTTTAGACACACACATTATCTCAGAGCGGACCAGCCGTTTCTCTGGAAAAGACTGAAAGGAGAGGAAATGGCTAAACAATCCTACACGGTCCAAAGTGGACAGAACCAACTGCCGCCTGTCGGCTGCCACATCGGACATGGCATTTGCAAACCGTTGGTTTAATTTCCAACAGCTTGCTCTGTCCCAAATGTGTCTGCATTTGGAGAGATGGCTGTTCGAAGCGCAGTAGTTTGTTTTTATTAGGAGAACAAATCGACCAAGTACGCAAGACCCGATGACAGGGTGTGAGCCTGCGTGTGTCCCACACCTCCCGTTCCCAAGCTTGGAAAACAGGTTATCATGGAGGGGTCTTTCTTGACTTCTTAGCTGCAGTTTATTTTAAAGCTTGCTTGAAACAGACAGAGTGCCAAGAGGCTCTCGGGGTCACCGCGACTTGCCAGGGAGCTAGTCCAGAGATAAGGACGAGCCCAGTAAACATGATTCTGTTGACTTGCAAGATGGGTTATTTTGTTTTCTGTTTTTTTTTTCTCTCCAGAACACAGACCTTAATTGTTGTCAGTAATGTTTGCTGATTGCTGATTTCTGGAACACAAATTGTTTAGCAATTTAATTTTGTACAAAATCACAACACTGCTAGGTTTAATTCTCATAAAATCAAAATATTGGCTCCTAACAGTGACTATTTCAGTTATATCAGCTGAGTTATGATTCTTACCAGTTTCAAAAGCAATCAGATCAAGCTTAGTTCAGATCTAGTCCTCTGCTTACTAGCTGCTTGGTCTTTTTTGTTTTTTTGAGACAGGGTTTCTCTGTAGCTTTGGAGCCTATCCTGGAGCTAGCTCTTGTAGACCAGGCTGGCCTCGAACTCACAGAGATCTGCCTGCCTCTGCCTCCCGAGTGCTGGGATTAAAGGAGTGAGCCACCACAGCCCAGCCTAGCTGTTTGGTCTTAAGGAAGCTCCTCAACCTCCTGGAAGCCAAGTGTCCTCCCTCTGAAGTAGAGGAGGTGACGACACCTTCAGAGCCTGGCACGGGGCAGGAACATGGGAAATGGCAGCTCCCCCAGTACTGATGTATGATGCCACCAATTTCTCTCCTTTATTATCAAAGACGTGGAGAATGTAGTTAGTGGGAGACCTAATCCATGACAGCATGTAGGTCTTGAACCAGGCATGTGTGAGAACAAGCCACGAATGCTCCGGGAACATCTTGATGACTTCTTTTGTGAAAGCCGTCATTTGGAAGTTCAGCCAGACCCAAAGGTAAGCACTGACTTTTCTCTTTCTCTTCTTTGTTTATTTTTGCTGTTCCACACAGGGTGAGTTTAAGGTGTGCGAGAGGTACCTCACCATGGATGACCTGACCACCGCCCTGGAGGGGAACAGAGTGAAGGAGATGTTCGGCTCAGGGACGGCCGGCATTGTCTGTCCAGTCTCAGGAGTTCTGTACAAAGGCCAGGTAAGACAAAAGATTCTATATGTTAGTCATTTCTAAAGTCAGCTTGTGCCCTGGGCTTGGCAAGATGGCACAGTGGTGGAGACACCTGTCATCCAGGCTGAAAACTTGAGTTTCGGTCCCTGGGACCCACATAACGGAAGGAAAGAAGCCAACTCTTGAAGCTTCTCATGTGTTTGACAGCACCGCACTCTGCCCGACGCTCTCAGTCAGTAAGCAAATAAATGAATGGGATTATGAAATACATAAACACTTACCTGTCATGTAATGAAGTCATAAAATGTGTGAGGGAAATTTGAGCGGGTTGGGCCTGTGTTGGCACAGATCTTCCATCTTCCCGGCGGTTTAGTGAGGGCTCAGACATGAATAGCGAGTCAGCCGTGTCCTTGGCAAGTGTGGAGCTGTGGGCAGGGGGGAACGGAACGACTAACATAGCTGCCTCGTTCTGTCTGCCTGCTGAGGTAGGCTGCACAGCAGGAAGCTCAGTGTTCCCGCTTCCAAGGAGCGGAGCGACAATAGGCACGAAATGTACATGAGAACTGCCCGCTCTGTCCTCTGCCGCCGTCACCGTTGTCGGACTCAGACCTCTGGAGCAATTCGAGGATTATTCTTTCCTACACTTTCCCATTTTTAAAGAACAGATTTATTTTATTTCACGTGTACGGCTATTTTGTATGCATGTCTCTCTGGGCACTGTGTACACGCAATGCCACGGATGCCAGAAGAGGGTGCTGGAGCCCCTGAAATTGCTGCCACAGGTGGTTGTAAGTCACTCTGTGGGTGCTGGGAATCAAATCGGGGTCTTCTGGAAGAGCAGCCCGTGCTCTTAACCATGCAGCCCCCTCTCCAGCCCCCACTTAGCCATCTTACTTGTGCCATGTGTGCGTTATCTTGCCAGTGGGAGGCCTTTCTCCACCACAGCAAACCCAGTCCTGCACATCATTCAGCCTGTCTTTTTTTGAGATAGAATTTCTGTGTAACAGCTCTGGCCGCCCGAGAACTAACTTTGTAGACTAGGCTGGCCTTGAACTCACAGAAATCTGCCTGCCTGTGCCTCTCAAGTGCTAGGATTAAAGGTGCGTGCCACCACTGCCCAGTTTAGCCTCTACTTTTAGAGTGTAAAGATAGGAATTATTTTTACAGGCATTCTATAAATGTGTCACTGTTACTCTATATTTGTATGGGCAGTCTGTAACTGTAGGCATTATTCTGTAGGTGTACAGGCAGTCTGTAACTGTAGGCATTATTCTGTAGGTGTACAGGCAGTCTGTAACTGTAGGCATTATTCTGTAGGTGTACAGGCACACAACTATTCTGTAGTTGTGTGCTTGTTATTCCTATAAGACTAACTGCTTCAAATGACTTGTTAAATGTAAATTCCCCTGACTTTTGCGTTCAACATTACAACCTCAACTGATTGGGTTTACAATGGTGATGATGATGATGATGATGTTTTACTTGACATTTCAGCGTTTGCTTTCCAGGGGTGGTTGCTGATACAGTTTCACGCACAGATTATTTCACTGTGGAAGAACTACCTGGTTTTCTATCCATGTGGCAGAGAGCTGGGGAGGGAGGCATGCATGCCAGAGAGGGATCTAGAAAAACAAAGAGGGAAAGAAGAGATTGCAGGAGGCTAGTTTGAGCATTTTTTGGCAGTGTCTATGTGTGATATTGGTCCATTTTGGTAACTAAAATCCACTTGTTACACCACTCTAGAAATAAAAGTTTACAAAGGTTAACTTATTTTTAATGCTTCTCCTAAATGCTTCTGGGAGGCATTCAGAGCCCAAAGGGCTTGTAATTATCCTATTACACTAAAAGGCATAATAAGAAGAGTGTTTGAGAATATGAGCTATCTACTAAAATCAAAGCATCAAAAGCCAGCCTGCCAGCAAGGCATGAACGGGCAGGACTCAGATACACACTACGGGCACGAAATCTCTTTCAGCTATGAATTTAGCCTGCCTTCCCATGGGAGTTACAGCCCTTGGAGGTACACCCTGCCCTAGATGCAGGTTCAGAAACCCTTTTGTGAATGGGGATGAGACTTGCTTTCATTTATCCCTTTGAAATGACTTGCTTTGGTTTGTTGCAAAATATCTTTGAGTTCTGGATTCTTGGCAGAGGGTTCAACAGAGGGCAATTATTCATCCTATGAATTCTTAGAATCCTGAGTTCCTCTACTGTTTCAGGGACCTCTTCTAGTCTCCCGAATCCCTTAGACCGTCCGAAGAATGCCACTCAAACCTTCTGTGCGCTTGATTGAGTTGGTAGGAAACGAACACGCTGTCACTGGCTGACTTTTTTTTTTTTTTTCCAAATTCTGAGCAGGGATAACTCAGGTGTAGGAGGTAGCGTGTGTGGTAGGTATGCTGGGGTGCCTCTCTGGGCCTAGCAGAGTTGCCATCATGTCACAGGAGTGCCACGTGTGCTCCTGTCCCTGCCATGTGTGCTTCCCACCCTCAGAGCGCTCTCTCCCCTCTTCTGCAGATGCTGCACATCCCAACCATGGAGAATGGGCCCAAGCTTGCAAGCCGCATCCTGGAAAAGTTGACCGATATCCAGGTAGACGTTTTTTACCAGCTGGGGTTGGGGATCCGCTAAGAGATGGCTCAGAGGTTAAGAACATTACTGCTCTTAAAGAGGACCTGAGTTCATTCTCCCGAACCCACAAGTGGGCTCACAGTTCTAGTTCCAAGAAATCTGATGGCCTCTTCTGCATGCCTGAGGCACTCCCTGCATATAATGCACCTATGCACATGCAGCAAAAACATTCAGATACATAAAATAAAAGTAAAGAAAATATCGCAAACAAACCCACCTTGGGGCTCATAATCATAAGATGCTTGGTGAGGTGGCACACCCCTTTAATACCAGTACTTGGGAAGTATGGGCAAGGGGATCTCTGACTTCAAGGCCAGCCTGCTCCACATAGGGAGTTCAGGTCTACCGGCAATATATGGTGAGGCCTGTCTTAAAAAAAAAAAATTAAAATAGAAAAAATTCATATAGGGGGTGGGTGATTAAAATGCTCACTGTCCATTGTACTCAGGTCCCCAGAATCCTATAGAAGTACTGGATGGACACAGCAACCCAGCTGGTGATTCCAGCTTGTGAATTACTAAGTGAATAACTAAGTGGTTAGTGAGACCACCATATTCGTGAGCTCTGGGTTTGACTGAGAGACCCTACCTCAAAGAATAAGGTAGAAGAATGTCGGCCTTGGGATTTTCCATGCATGTGCACACGTGTACATCCACAGACACATGTATCTATATACATACAGAAATGCATAACACACACACTGGAAAAAGAAACAAATAATAAAGGACATGCATGGTAGAACATTTGAGACAGCCAGACCTTTTCTCTCTTGACTTTCATGTTCTTTAGCGACGGTGGCATTGACTCTAACATGGGCTGGGGATGTAGCTTGCCTGGCAGCGGGCTTTCTAACACGCATGGCACCCTGGGTTGTGATGCCTACATCCACTGGGTTTTGTGTGCACGTCTACAGTTCAACACTTGGGTTGGAGGTGGGAGGATCAGAAGGTCGTGGCCTTCAGATACGTTGCGAGTTTGAGGCCAGCCTAGGCTACGAGACAGCCGGCCTTTAAAAACAACCCAAAGAGCCCGACAATTCACTCGGAACTCATACAGAACAGAGAGACAAAGAGGTCGTAAGCACAGGCACAGGTGATCAGGAAGTGCCTCAGAGCCACTCACCACGTACGAGCACCGTGTATTTCCCAGCGTGTGTAAGCACCAGGGCCAACCACCCGCAATCAAAACCACATCTTTTTTCCCTCAATTATTTTGTGCTTGTGTCCTCAAGTCTCCAAATTATTCCCTTACAAGAGGGCAAATTGGTACTGATAGCCAAGGGACTAGCTAGCCTGTTTCCAAGAACAACAATTTTGGCAATTACTGAGGGAGCAAGAAAAGAAGGATGTTACATCATGTTTGAGATTCGATCTCTTTGGGTGTTACATGGAAACATGATGTTTCCCTACAAAGTGTCCCGCAGATTTTGAAGACAAGGGTAATAACCAGCAAAGCAAGGGAAAGAGAAACCGAGGCTCTTGCCAGTATGACCCAGGGGGAAATCTCTGAAACCTCGGATCTGACTTGACGTTTAGACTTTTAGTGCCAGGCTAAGTAAGTACTTGTCCGATGGGGCCAATAACCCACACTGTCCAGGGTGCTAGGTTACTATACATACCTGCTGCAGGCGAGAGTTCAATACAAGGTTATTCTGTTTTCTTCCCCCCTTTCTTTCTATTTATAACCAAAAAAAAAAAAAAAAGCATTCCTGGTTTTTTTTACAGAAGCCGAGGTAAGCGTGGGCAACGCTGCTGCCTGCTCTTTTGTTTCTGCCCACCAAGCAGCGCCCAGTCTTTAGGTCAGCTCTGTTCTCCAGATGCTCTGTGTCCCGTGATGCTGCCTGCCTCTGCTGAACCTCCTACGGTTTGGTTTACAGGGTCACGTTTGTCCTTCAGCGTTCATCCCTTGTGGGACTCTGTATCACTGGGTTTGCTTTTGAGACAGGGTCTCACAGTGTAGACCAGGCTAGCCCTGAATCTCTGTGGGAACCTTTTAAATACCCCCTGAGCCACCTAAGACCCTGACATTCCTTTATAATCAGTCACACGTTTGTCCCCTCCTCCAGCTGTTTTAATGCTGGAGGTTTTTCCTTCTCTTTATGTCCCTGGGGGTTTCACTTGGGGTCTAGGGTAGAGAATACAGACAGTAATATTTCTTCACTGAACGGAATGAGAAGCCGAGATAAATTTCTTTAAACCAAATCTTGTGTTGCTCCTAAGTATTTACATATCCTAAGAAGAGATAGGAAAAGTGTCTTGAACAATGTGGCATTGGTGGCCTTCAAAGTCAAACACTCGAGGCTAGGAATTTTACAAGGAAAGGCTTGTCCAGCTTTTAGAGAATCGATGTTGGTCTGGTCTCTGAGATTGGCAGGTGGCAGCTTCCCATGCAGCTTAGGTGGATCCACTGTGCCAGGTGACCAAGCCACACACCCTAAAGTTCTGCTATCGTTCAGTAGCGTCACCCTGGAGAAAGGCCTTCAAACCAGGGCCGCCGAAGGAGACCCAACCGACTTCACATCACTGGAAGTGCCAGACTCCCCTTCCAAAGCACGTTTGCCTGTCTGGATGGATACTGACCCGGCTATACCAGCCCCAGGGCGGCTGGAGCCTGGGCCTCATGATCAGGGAAAGCAGTATGAACAATGAGCTCTTGGCTATGGGATGGGAAAAGGCAGCTACAGGTTCACAATAAGGCCATTTTCATTTTATTGATCGAGGTAGGGTCTCATATAGCCCAGGCTAGCCTTAAACGCCTGTAGAGCAGGACCTGCCTTCATCGTCCAAGGGCTGGGATTGCAAGCATGTATTGTCACCCCTGATTTACTGATTTTTTTTGTAGATTGATTTTTGTTTTTAGTTACGTGTGTATGGGGATGCTGGAGGGGTTGAAAGTGTATGGAGGCCAGAAAGGGCCTTGGATCTATGGAACTGGAATCACACATTTGTGTGCAGACACCCAGGTCCTCTAGAAGGTCCGTCTGTGCTTTTAACAGCCACGCCCTCTCCAGTGCAGTAAACAAGCCCATTGGACAGTTGTGGCTGCTCAGGTTTGCTCAAGTCTTGGTTTTACACTGAAACATGTGTTTTTGCTTTTGTCGTAGTACGGAAGGGAGGAGAGTGACTGGACAATCGTGTTACCCTGATGGAAAATCTCAGTGGGTCGGTGGTGTGCCACAGAAGACAGACCTCTGCCCCGAACCATGACCGCCTGTTTAGTTTTCTATGTTAGAGTTGCAGTGTTCATGTGTTACCAAGTTGAGGTTTTCCCTCGAGCCACAGGAAATTGTCGGTACCAGATATCACCCGTAAACGCGGTAGTGACTGGTTACTGTCGCTTTCTCTACCGGAGCTTTCTCTGAGAAGATATCGATGCCTCCCTTTGTCCTGCACAAGATCCAAATGTCTGTTTGTTAGCAGAAGGTAGCGTTCCCCCAACCAATGAGACGTCTGTATGTGCGGAAGGATGGCTGAGGACATTTCATAGGTGGTGTCCCTGTGGCTCGTGGGTAGCCTTGGGAACACTCAGAGCAGGGCTTTTTGTTATTGTTGCCGGTGAGTTTTTTTTTGGGTTTTGGTTGGGAGTTGAACTCTCTAGGTAGCCCTGGCTTGCCTGGTGCTCCCTGATGTCTGCCCAGGCTGGTCTCAGACTCAACACAGTCCTCCTGCCTCCGCCTTCTAAAGCCGGGTGACGGCTGGGCACGGTCATGTCTTGATTTGTTTTTTTGTCTTTGAGTCAAAAATGCAGTCACCTGGATTTCTTCCCTCCATGCTTTTGTAGGTCCTTAAGTCCAAGCTAAGGAGGAACTGTCCCTCCCTGGTATCAGGGTCTGCCACAGTTTTACCTGGGGGTCTCTGAGGTTCAAGCTCATTGCCCCCACTGCCTTTTGTATTAGAACTGCCTGCTCACCATGCTGCTATGGACTAGGGACCCTATGCCTTCTAGATGGTTGTATCCTCAAAGCCCAGCACATGGTAGGTGTTTGGTACGTATTTACTATAAAAACAAACACTGAAGTGTGCTTCCTGTCTCTGTGCTGGACCGCTTTCGGAAGCCATGCCCGATTTTGGAAGCACACCGCAGCATCACCTCACACTGTCTTTCTTGTCCACTGACTCCTACATCATGGTTGGTTGGGAGAATGATGTTACATTTTAAGGTTATCTTGGAGCTGAAGTGATTGCCCCGGACAGAATTCATGATAAAGTGCCAACCACATGGAAATGACAATGCTGTACTTTGAGTATTATATGCCAAACAAAAGGGTAGATAGGGAGACGCTCTGGGTTTTGATCTTCATCCACATTTTGTGCCATTCTCTTGGGTGAGCATTGATGAGCCACCTGGCTGGGAAACAGAACAATTCCAGACAGTGTTTCCCGTGTTTAGGGACTGTGAGTGGAAAGGTCTTTCATTTCCCGGTTTATCCAGGAGAGAGTCGTGTCTGCTCTTTAGCCTTTGCATTCAGAGTCAGGAGCCCAAGTCTAGTGGTGTCCAGATGTGCTCCCACAGATGTCTGGGCAGCCAGAGCTACACACAGGAAGCCTGAGTTACACAGGCCCAGGATTTGTGCTCCTTTGCTACCGCGCCCGGTGATGTTGGTGCGGAGAGCAAATAAGAACGGCAAGCTTTGACATCGGAGATTGTGGGAGGGAACAGCGTCAGCTGAGCAACAGTGTCTCAGCGTCAGCACAGGGGCCACATCACTGCAAGGCCCAGCTTCTTTCTTAAGCAGACAGAAAGAAAGAGGCATTGTGAGCAAGGCTCGGCTTTCAGGGAACACGGTCAGAAGGTCTTGAAGGGACTTAAGGGGACGGTAGTGTAAAGGTGGTGACATGGCGACACTGGGTGAAGGGTTTGTAGAAGCACAGTTACGCACTCAGAGATGGCCTTGTGCCGCAGCCATCTTGAGTGTGGCACTCTATGTTTGTGTTAAGGACCCGAGGTGGTTGTATTCTGCAACAGATAAATTCTTCATTGTTGGCAGGCTCTTCAGATCTGTGATTATGCACACTTTGCTGCTGTCAATAAAACAACTGAAAAGCACACTGTCTCGTGTCGTGAAACCGGCAAGCTTGCGTGTGTGAAGTTATAGTATGTCCCAAGGGTTGGGCATGTTTGAGCCATGGCAGCACCAAGCGTAAGGACTGAGGGCACCAGACGCCTGAAACCACACGACCATCTCAAATGTTTGAGCAAGAAATAAAAGGGGCATGTAAGAACCACCCTGGGCTGGCGAAGTGGCACAGGAAGGAAAGTCCTGGCCACCCAGCCTGATGACGTAAATTCAGTCCCAGGACTGACCTGGCTAGAGGAAAGAACTGACTTCTACAGGTTTTCCTTTGACCTCTGTGTGCCTGCCATAGAATGCTCCTAACCATCCCCTAACACAGTACATGAGTAAATCAAGCAAACAAACCATCTCCCCTGGCTGCAGTGTTTTGTCCCTGCCTTTCAGTGGGGCACAGAAATGCAATTGCTGTGAGAGCCAATCGCAAACATCCACTTGGGGATGTCCGGGAGTTTCTCAGACTGTCATCTGAAGGGAGATGACCTCCCTGAGTTCGGATGGCGAGACCTAATGGGCTGGGATGTGGGCCTCGAAAGGGAAGGGAACCTGTTGAGGGACAGCATTCCTGTGTCTCTGCTTACCGACCTACCAGGCTGTGAACAAGCAGCCTGGACTCCTCATCACAGGGCTGCACGCAGCCATCCATCTGGCCATGAAACCTTCCTGCCATGAAGAGCACATCTCCTCAGACTGAGACAAAATCAGTCCCCTTTTCTCTACTTGCTTTTGTGAGGTATTTAGCTGTGAGCAAAGTTACTAAAACTGGTCTTCTGTTTTCTGCCGTAATGAGTTCACCTCTCTGACAAATGATGCTCCAGCATGTGGCTAGTTACCTTCAGAATACAAAATACTTTACAAAGATACATGGTCAAGGCCCAATAGCATAAAAAAGACCTTGTAACTATATTAGGTCTTGATCATCTTGCCTTCAGATGCACTTGCCTTTGAGAGAATAAAGCCAAATCCATAAATATACTTGTTATATATGCATTTTTACAATTATGTGTATAGATGCTTTTTTCCTGATTTCATGTCTGTCTGTGCACATATATGTGCCAGATACCCATGGCTGGAGAAGGATATTGGAACTCATAGGACTAGAATTTCACAGGTGTGAGACACCATGTGGGTGCTGGGAATTGAACATAGGTCCTATGGAAGAGCAGCCAGTGCTCTTAACCACTGAGCCATCCCTCCAGCCCCACATATGTACTTTGGTGGTTTATTCAAATTAATGTAAGTGTAACAAAAACCAAAGGGTTTTTTTTTTTTTTAAGAATTGCCATAAATTGAACTTAAGAGAATCCTGTGTTAAGACCTGCACACATTGTTAACCTGTGAAAATCTCGGTCCATGCCAATATCGCTAACAGGGAATTAGATGTAAGTGTTGGGGTCAAAGCCTAGTGGTAGAACAGTTGACTAGAAAGCCCAAGGCAGTGGGTCCGATCCTCCAGCATCGAGGGACAAGAAAAAGGGAGAAAGACACAAGACACGGAATGGGGAAAGTCCTTCCCCTTCTGACAGCGTCAATGCTGCTCTCCCCCAGGAATGACTAGGGAGACACGTCGTTGCTGAGGGAGGGGACACACATTGCAGGTCTCCTTCAGGGTTGGACATGTCTCTGTTGACATGAGAAGTACAGATAGTAAGAACGGGGTTTCCAGCTTTTGTGATGATTTTTCTGCAAGGTTGATTTAACATGATCTTAAGCATATTCTCCGCATGAAGGGGCTGAGCCCACATAAGACACGTGACCAAGCTTTCCTGTCGTGATAACATGCATATTACACAGCCTGACTTCCTTTGGAATGTCGACAGGAGGCAAATTCACGTCCTGGAGTTGGGAACCTCATGATCAGGTAGGTGTAGATGCTGGTCCATAAAGTACCCACTGCTTGGCTTTCCAGCTCCGCCTAGGAAACCCATGGTTATTTTCCCCCAAAGTCATGGTTACCAGGGCTTTTAAAATGCAATGAAAAGAGTTTTTCCAATTTTCCATTCTTTTAAGTATTTATTTTTATTTTATGTGTCTGTGTGTTTTGGCTCCATGTCTGTCTTTGTAACTGCATGCTGGCCAGGAGAAGGTACTGGATCCCGTGGCCCTGGAGTTAACAGATGTTTGTGAGCAGCCAGTGAGTATTTGGAATTATACCTGGGTCTTCTGAGGAGCAGCTGTCTCTCCAGCCCTTGCCGTCCCATTCTTAAGAGATCTGTGCTGTCTCTGGTTCCTAATTTTCAAAGCTGAACTGTTTAAAAAAACAAACTGAATTGTATTTGTTTAAAGGTAGTTATATAATCAAGTAAGCATTTCTCATTGAAGATTCCTTCACCCTGGGAAACGCGATCCCTGCTTTAATCTCTGGCATCTTCTGAGCTAGGGAATATCCTAACGTGCAGATGGCTAATCGTGAGAGAATGGTAAGAGCTGTTGGCTGATCTCATGGCCAGGAGTTCACTCCTTAATTGGTGAGCAGAGGAGACAGAAACCAGAGTGGGAACCAATTGTACGAGTCAGGTTCTACCGTCCACGTGAATAGAACCTCGATGGGCAGGTGGCGTGTCTGGCTACTCTTCACATCAGTGAGTTCCAAGGACAGCAGATGGCCCTCTGTTAGGTGGCTCTCACCCTGTCAGCTGAAGTCCTAAGAACACGGCCAATCCTGCCTGAACTTCCCAGCCTGCTTGGCTCCCTGTGCAGGCTGGTGCTTGGCCCCCTGTGCAGGCAGGTTGCAGATCAAGACAACAGCATCAAAACTTGACACCTCCCAGCTGTTACTGTCCCCTGTGCAGAGGTTAATTTTGACTGTGGGCTGTGTCATAGTTAGCTTCAGCTGTGAATCTGACACCCGGAAGAGGATGCTCAACCAAAGAACTGACTGCATCACATTGGCTTTGGGCAGGTCGATGGCCATTTTTTAAAATTATTGCTAAAGATATAGGTGGGCCCTGCCCCGTGTGTATATCCCTAGGCCAGTGGGTCCGGGAACAAGCCTGTTGAGGACATTCCTCTATGGTTTCAAACTCCTTTGAGCTCCTGTCTTGACTCCTCTTGATGCTGGACTGTATGAAACCCATAAGATGAAATAAGCCCCTTCCTCCCCAAACTAGTTTTGGTTGTGGTGTTTTATCACAGCAGTAGAAAGCAGAATGAAGCAGGCTCACCTTTGGGAATGATTTGATTCTGACACTGGGGAGGTGGAGGCAGGAGAATCGGAAGTTCAAAGTCATCCTTGGTTACATAGTCAGTCTGAGGCCACCCTGGAATACCTGAGACCCCCGGGGGGTGGGAATTAAGACACTTGGTAGGAATTGAATGGCCTGGCCTCCTTTAATGCCAAAATCACGAGTTAATTGGATTCCTTAAACCCTCACTGGCTAAACTGAGAGATACAGATGCCACAGACTGAGCCCCCTTTCAACTTTCTCTTAAGAACCCAGGCTCATCCAGCGACAGATGACATTGTCCCATGCTGAGGAAGAAACATGTGGAATATTTTCTCCTGGTTCATTCCAGGCAGTTCAGAAAACCAGCTAAGGCACCTCGGCTAGTTTACTCTAATGGCCAACAGCTCCTAAGAGAAACATGAGTTCCAAAGCCCTTGGTGCTGCACTGCCCCCCAAAGAGGGAGGACAGGCATCAGGCATCAGTTGCAAGCATAGGGGAGGGGAGTGTTTTTGAGGGCTCGGTTACACATTGCCCCTTAAATTATTGTTAGTTTTTCTGGCCTGGATACTCTGCCTTGAGAAGGTACATGTACCCAATTCTTTTTTTAAGTCGAATGGAAATGTTTTGGTGTGTGTGTGTGTGTGTGTGTGTGTCGAATGGAATCCAGGTGTAAACGTGAATGTGAGCATGTGTGTGTAATTGGATGGGAGGAGCATCAAGTAAGCAGCCACCTTCACAATAAAATCTCATCTCATGGCTTTACTAAATCCATGGACACACTGACCACGATGGTGTCCTCTGGAAGCTGCTGAATTCACAGTGTAAAGCCCAGGTTCACTACGTGCTCATTAACAGTGCTGTGCTCTTCAGACTCAGCTCAGGAAACAGTCAGCATCGTCTGGACTTGCCTTTCTTTGTGTTTCCCGTTTACTCATGTTTGCAAGTATGTATGTGTGCATACAATGTGTTCTCTATGGATGGGTATTTTCTCTACATGCCATGTGTGTGTGTCATGTGCACACAGTCACTGTGGAGGCCAGAAGAGGGCGTCAAATCCCCCTGAAAATAGTTACTAGTTGTGAGTTGTCATGTGGGTGCTGGGAACTGAACTTGGGTCCTTTGCAAGAGCAGTCAGTGCTCTTGACCACTGAACCCTCTCTCTGGACCCTGTCCCCTCTTAACAAACTTTGCTGTTTTTTATTTAAGATAAAGTCTCATGTAATCCAAGCTGGCCTCACACACATAGCTGATGGTGACCTTGAAGTTCCGATCTTCCTGTCTCCACCTCCCAAGTGCTAAGTTTATGTTTCACTGAGGAGCTAGGGAAGGCCTCTGCTAAATGAGCCACATCACCCTCCCTTTCTGTTCCCTCCTGTGTATCATCTAGTTAAATGTGCAGAGTCACACTTCCTCCAATGAGACCACCCCCTTGGAGCCAATGGGGCCCGTGTGCATTCAAAGCACAACGTCTTCCATCCCAGACAAGTTCCTGTAAGCACACATCTTCTAACAGGGCATGCCTTGCCGCCTGGCTTGCAGGTTCTGTGAGTCTTCTTAGAGAGTTCATTGGAAACAGGCCCGACAGCAAAGTAACAGCTGAGGGTCGGGGGCATGAAAGTATCTGTGAGATGCTAATCCTAGCATCTGGCATCTCCTGAACAAATCCCCGGACTCACTGAATGAGCCTCCTCCCTGCCCGCCACGTGTGGGCTCATCCATGCTCACAGACAGGATTTCCACCCTGGTACAGGTCTTTGTAATGGATACCGTGCCCAGAACCGCAGTTTGCTTGGCCAGGACCCACCAT